AAAAAAAAAAAGGCAACGTAATTCGTAGATCTGTGGTGCCCCTTTCTGCCTAGGTCCCTGGGCGGTCGTCCAACGTTGGTCTACCCTAACGCCAGTGTTGACTTTACGCACATTCCTTATAATAAAAGTACTAGGAAATATCCCGTTATTCTACGCACTAATATGCGCATGTTCAATGACTTTGTTCTTAAGATTTACACTTCACCCATTCATCCTTTTTAACCGTCTTCAACAGAAGGAGGTTCTCGATTCGTCTGTATGTTTTTATATACATTATTCAACATAACCGAATGTGTACTACACATTCATTCAGATACATGTTTTCTTTTTAATGTAGATATTTCGGCAATAAGTAATATCGTCTCTTAGTAACAAAAAACCAAAGACAATATTCTCTACCTATAGGCAATATCAATAGCATCGTATGAATGAATCTCATAGGATTTTCTTGCAGATATTATAAAAGTATTTCATACATTCCCGTTCCCGTCGCGAAGGATGTTGACTGGGGCATCCAAGTGGGCCAAGGTCGGCCGGGCTGAAACTACGGGTACAAATTACGTCATAGCATTGTGCAGATATATTTTACATTGCAATTTCCTATTTTGGTTATGTATAGAACATAGCAATTTAAAAGACCAAAAAATCCGACTGATTTCCCTGCAAACAACGAGGTAGGTATACAATAATTTTGACTTAATCGTATTTGTGTATGTTGTGCATGAGTCGTATTTTCGGCCCGACTTCGAACTTTATCGTAATTTTTTTAATAGAATGAATCTGACGAAAACATTATTTTTCTAAATTAATGATTTAGCAGTGAAAACCAACCCGTACTTTGTTAAATTACCCAGCTGTTTCTAGTTCCCAACTTTATAAAACAAAAGAAAATCTGTGGGTATCTGCGCGAATTCTTCGCCGTATACCTACCGCACGAAGGCGCTGTATGAAATTCAGGTCAAGGCCTGCACTTGGGTGGTTTATTAATATTGTTTCGGGACTTTTAGTAGAGCAATGCTAAATAATCTCGATGCTTAAGTCCTAGAACTTTCCTATGGTAATCAATATTTAAGTTTTTATTATTTTTTTTTTTGGATGCTAATAACGAAAATCTTATTGTATTTGGGTCTAGATGCATTATAAAGGTCGAAAATTCTTACTTAACAATCTTGTATTCTAACAAATATTGGACTTTTCGAGCTTCCAATATTGTTGCCTATCCCATTTATCACACATTTTATACATCACTTTAATAAGTGTATCAGTAGAGGTAGAACAAGACCAAATATGTATAGACTGAGTCAAAAAGGGTTTTAGTAAAAAGGGGTTAATTACATAATGTTACTAATTGCTACAAATGTAGAGGAAACCAAAGAAAGTATGGATGGATTGTGTTAAAGAAGATATGAGTAAGGAGGTAGATTCAGATATGACGGCAGATAAAGAAGTATGGAGTATTAAATTATTCAAACTTTCGTGAGACATTATACTAAACTGATATAACACGGCTAAACACTCACTTATATGCGTCCGGTGGCGGCACCGACTAGTTTCGAGCCCATCGGGGGCCCTTCATCAGGATGAGTGGCACTCTGTGAGTGAGCGACGGGCCGCGTCCGCGAAATAATACCAGTGCCACTCATCCTGATGAAGGGCCCCCGATGGGCTCGAAACTAGTCGGTGCCGCCACCGGACGCATATACGTGAGTGTTTAGCCGTGTTATATCAGTTAAGTATGGAGTAGTACATACTGTGCCGACCCTCTGTAGGGATGATTTATAGGGGCAGGTTGATAATAATTACTTATAGAGCCTTATGAAACATCAATCTGTTGTATAGAAAGAGCAGGAAGATAATTTATGAATATTCAATAGGTTAACCATAGAGAGTTAACACAAACTTTTTTGATGAAATGTTAAAAATAGTATTATGAAGGTGAATTACATCTGTGGCTAAATAAGAAGATACAAGAACAGCCAAAACCGGCCATAAGCAAGTATGATTTGTGTTACCAAAAGAATTGGCATTTAGGTGATGCCATTTTAAAAGAGAAAAAAAATTTCAGCCTTCGCTGTGAAATGGTTTGCAATAATTATAACATGTTCAGTGCCAAAGAAATGACTTGTTCACATTAAACCGTCAAGCCTTGGAAAATTGTGTAATGATTGAATACATGAAAATTTTAGTTGCACCAAATATGTTAGAGAAGATAGGAAAGAAAATATAATGTATACCAGAGACTTTTTTCCTATTAGACAATGTGAAAAAGGTTCCTAAGTCATGCTATTAGTTAAACCTCAAAGGTTCACCTTAACATTATTATTTCAATTCCATATAAACCTACTTTTTACTAACATAAAAGCATTTAACATACATTTAAATATTTAACAAGTATATCTTTATTCATAATAAAGAAATATTAAAGGACTTAATTTAGAGTAAAAATTTTATAGCAAATAGCAAAAAAAATGCACCTTAATAAGTACTTCTATACAATTAAGAGATGAGTTAATTAGTTAATCATTCTTTGTTAAGGAACCCATTAATATCACCTAATTAGTTGTTATAATGTTAGCTTTCTAATCATTTACTAAGTAATTAATGCATTTTAATTTTGTATACAATGTTTTTCTGCGAAATTTTAACCAGAGATCTCTTAGATGTAGCACCATTTTTCATATTTTTTGGGTAAAAGGAATACAACGAATAGGTTTTCATAGGACAATAGACAGATCTTAATCGTACCAACTTGTTTTGCTTATTTCTAAAACATAGCTGTAAATACCTTACCATGAGTTGAAATGTTGTCACTTGCAGAGTCCAGCACCCCAGCAGAGCACCACAGACTCATCGTGCACAGTCACTTGCGAAATCAACTATACCACACAAACAAATATATAAATACAGCACAAAAAACCAAACGGTCACCACAAAACCAGTTCCCAACACACCAACAGTTACGCTGCTTACACTTGTTGCAAAATTAACAACAAAAAGATATCGTTAAAAGAAAGCGAAGGATATTATGTCGTTTTAGATCGATTTTTTATTTATTTTATTCCCACATTTCAGAAAAATTTTCATAGTCTTCACTTAAAACACTTTTTTCTTTAAAAAAGCTCAAGTTGTTTTATAAGTTCGGAATATTTTTTTTTAATTGTTAAATGAAATCATTACAACTGTCAATGTATATTTCACAAATATGCCACTATCGCGCATGCGTATCATAACAAGAAAGAAGTGCAGAAGAGCACCACCTGCGCAAATAACTGCTAAACGCGACTGCCGTTTTGATTCCTATATAAATGGTGCGTGCGCTGCGCTGAGCGAAACGCTATCTGAATTTCAACCACTGTGAAGTAAGTCGTAACTTTTGACATTTGCGAATTGCCGCCCAATCGCAATCGAGGTTAATTTTAAACGGTGTGACCAGTTTATAAATTCAATTCTTACTACTAAAGTAAAACTAACCGTTACTAAAAGTCAATAGCTTGGTGAAATTTACAACACTTTAATTATAAAATAACAGATTTCGTAATGGAAATAACATAATATTTTGGAAATGCGCGAAAGAAAGACTTAACGGGTTAAAACCATTTATATTGAGTCCAAATTTTGGTAGAATTTAGTAGGTTTGAGGAAAAGAAACCGGAAGTATCAAAGTAACAAACTTAAAATCAACTATGCTTCATGTCCAAATTATTATTTTAAAAAAATGATTTATAAAATATGTTAGTATTTTATAATCATTGTTACCTGCCGATGGAAATTACTTAGCGCTTTGGGAAGAAAAATATACTTTCCATATCAAAACTTTTATCTCTAGGAAGTATAATTAAAACTAATAAGAGTAATGTGACTGATATGCTGAAGTGGAGGTTTCGTAATTTAAAAGATGTCATTCAAACTTGTCTAAAATTTGAACTGAAATATACTGGTAAATCTCTTCTTTTAATTTCTAACTTAAAATGAAGTAGTTCTGTAGTCTGAATCCGGACCATCGTGATGACATTTATTTTGTTCAGTTGGCATGAAATTCGAAAAGAGATTTAAATTTTAAGAAAAAAATGTACATCATGTACCTATCAAAAAAGAGGAAAATTTTGTTATTGTAGATTTAACCACTAATGTCTTTCAAATTGTCGTTATTTATATTTACAATTTTACCGTTAGTTTTTCTCTTAAAATTTAGTGACTATTATATTAGTTCGTTTCTTATTCTAAAGATAATTAATTGTATGAGTGAGATGTCACATTGAATGAACTTCGAAGTGGATCGCTACTCATCTGCTTGGGCACATATCGCCCTTTGTGCGGATCTCACATGGGCCACGGAGCCCCCCGATGACTTTATCATAGCAAACCAGGTCAGCATTATTTCAAACCAAAGCTTTTAAATGGAACCTTAATATATTTTTACTTACCGTGGCGTATTTTAGAGAAGGTTTTAGTTAATATCACATTATTACTTTTTATCTTAAACGAGAACAAAGAAATTAAACTTGAACAAGATAAATTTGTTATTTGCGCTGTCGCTAGGGATGTCCTGGACAATTTTTGTATACCAGCAAGACTGATTGGTTAATGTGATAACCATGAACATTTATTATGCGCCAATATGGCAGAATCAAGATAGGTGTCTGATCCAGTTGAAAATAATGATAAATTATTACAGCGCCTTTGGGCACAACATTGTCGCGTTTCACAAGTTCTTCAAGACACAGCGGTAGAGTCTTCACAGGTTTTACCACATAATCAATGCGAACTTACAGGTCAGACTTGACATTAAATCAATGTTTTCTATGACAACGTACGAAATTAATTTATTATTAAAATCATTTTAGAGTCACATACCACTCCGAGTCCTGAAAAGGGAAACAGTTCCCGAAGAAGCGTTAAAGATGTAATACCAGAGTCAAGGTTGGCCCAATATTATGGAAACTTCTATTACGATGAAGTCAGGTTAATACATTTATTTCATTTTATTACTTCCGAAATACGTATACAAAATGAAGATTTCATACCATCAGAGAAATCATTCTCTTCGGAAAAACTAAATTTTTTGTATAGGTGATTTGTCAGCGGAAACTAACAAGCGTACCACTAGTTTGTGATTGGCCGTGACACGAATTTTTGTTTTTAGAGAAAATTGTTACAAGTTCACAAATGACAAAATATCTGGACGCGGTTACAGCGGTCAAGGATGTGAAAATTCTGATTTAACAGAATGCTGGATGTTACCAGAGGTGATTAAATTCTTGTTCCAATTCTTTTTTTATCAAAATCATCACACGACTATTTGTATATTCCAATTTTGTTCATGTTTATATTAATTAAACTTTTATGTTTTAAATGTAAAGAAAATGTTTCGTATACTTGATATTACCCTACTATACTTACACTGGTACTTTAATACAACAACACTGTATTTACAGTAATGTTTTGTCTATGGTAAATAATTTCCGTGCGCAAAAAGATGGGGCAGAATCTTGTTTTTATATAGGTTTATTTTATTTCACATCCTTCTTATACCTTTATCTACTTCCACATTATTAAAACAATTTTATTTATATAATCAGGTAGAATATTGGTTCCGGAAACTAATGGACGATCCCGCTGATCGTATTATGCTGCCCCGACGCCGAAGACAGTACAGGATGCCCATTGAGGACGATTTGTGCGTTCTGCTTAAATTCTGATAGCGTTTATATTTCATTTTATATTCTGAAATGTAGCCTCGTTACTTTTCAATCGATGTTAATTATATTAGGAATTAATATCTCGGTCAATGTAATTATAAAAACAACACTAAACTGAGAAAAAACTACATTGTAAGCTAAGTGTTAAGATTTGTGATAATACTTTTACGTTTAACAGTTCTTAATTCTAGATGTTGAAAGAAGATGATTTTTTTAATTAAATAGTTTTTTTGAAAAGATACGTAAAAATTAACGGGCACCGATCGGCAGCTAGCGAGCGCTGGGGCTCCAGTGGGGCGGCAGCAGCCGCGGGTGAAGAGGCAACATTAGAGGCTCGTATTCGTAGTGTGCGCGCCCTCTGGGACACGACGGGGCTCGGCCGGCAGCCGCCCCGCGCCCCCAGTCCGCCACCACCCTCCCGCAAGATGCGAGCGCGGCGCAGGCAGCCACGCCGCCTGGCCGGCTTCTCCCCTGCGCCCCCCTCCTACTGCCTTGACGCACCGGCTCAGCTCTGCTGTGATCCGGCTTGCAAAGTAAGAGTATACTCATTTTTATCAATCGTTGCAAACTGAATTACAATCACAAATAAGTTTTTGTATCGTATATTTTTTATTTGAGTTTAGTTAATATGTGTAATTATCTATCAATCTGTTAGTTTCAGTTTGACACGCCGAGACCTCCTCACATGACAGAATGTCAACGAGCTTTGGGAAGACTATCAGCCAGCGTTCAAGCTATCATGCGAGCAAATGCAGCTCGCTGCCCGATGTATCGAGGTACAAATGTAAGCCGGTACGTTCCAACTGGACAAAGACCATTACGTTGTCCTGACCGACGGTACGGAATCTGGTGGCCTAGGGATCATCCGTCGAGAGTAGAAAATCGCTTACAACTACCTCAAAGTCTCAACGTTCCAGATACAACCAATAGCAATTCAAAAACAGTTAAAATAAATTCTGATAACGCGGAAAAAGAGGAAACTAAAGATTCAAATGAAAAAACATCCCCGAGGCAACAAGTTAAAGAATCGCCGTCGACTACAGACAATGCTGTAGAAAAACTGGAAAATGTTAAAGCTAAAGAAAAAATTGTTAACGATGGTCAAACTCCGTCTACAAGTGCGGCCGCTTTAGACAGTGGGTTGAGGAAAAAACGCCTATATAGCACTGTGTTGAGCATGAGCGCACCGTCCCCAATCACTATAACACCGTCTGGTTGCGTCAGATTATCACAAAAATTGGTTACGCCGGGACTTATCAAGTTGAATCCTAAAGTTGTTCTACCGACAAGAATACGACCACCTAACGTTGAAGTTAAATTTGAGGAACTCGAAAAGGAAGCTTTGGAACAGTACAAAGCGTCTGATGAGAGCATAGACACGAAATTTCGAGAATTGGAAAAGCAAGCGGTCGAACAATACAGCACGAGCAATAGTAATACAAGCTGCAGTAGTGGTAATTCAACAGAAAAACGCACCCCTAGCAATCCTACGATACCAGAGACAACTCAAAAATCTAGAAAGCAAATGTCAAAATTTCATAAAGACGCTTCCGTTGATAGTGTTGTCATTTACTCACAAAATTTTCCCGATCTTAACACCAAAAGTCATACCAACACTTCTATCAATTTAAAAAACTTCCACAACCCCCCGAGGGGGGAAAAAAAGGAAAGCTACAGATCCAATAAGAATTCGCGGAGTTTTAAAGGAGATTGGCAGCGGGCCGCGTCCGATACAGATTATGAAGCTAAGCCTAGCCATAAGGGGAGTCACAAGGGTCCATTGAGATGGACGTTACACGTAATGCCACCGAAGAAAAGACATTTAACTGTCTGCGCGTCAGATTTTTCTTCCGATGAGGATATGGAAGAAGCAAATGGTTCTATCAAAGATGCTGGCCCGTGTATTAAGAACCGTGTTACCGGTAAAGTTAAAATGTCCGCCCATGGTGGAGGAGATTTGAATCCTATTATGAGGAAAGCCTAGATTAAATAAAATACGTCTTGAATGTTTGATGACAATATGAAATCATAGTCTACTATTTATAATAGAATTATGTGAGGAAACTGTGCTTTAGATTTCGTAAGCGTCTTCCGCCTTTGTAATTTTTGATATGATTTTGTTGCGTCGAGTTTTGTGAGATCCAAACGAAAGCAAATGTGTATCGAACTGTGTCGAGGCGAGCCCAAGGCTGTAATTAAACCCGATGAGGTTGTTTGAGCAATGTGGTCGTTTTACTAGTCATAAATAATTTGTATATACAGTTTTGTATTTTTGCATTTATTAACATATGATTAAGATAAAGGATTGCAATTCATACAAAGAGATGTATGAAGTTAAAATTCCTTAGGTGTTAACCAAAATAAATTTTTATATGGAATATTACACACAGGTTATTATTTCAATTCTAGTTTTATAAACAACAAAAAAATATATATAACATCATCTAAAACAATAACTTTCTTAACTTTGGAATATAAAATTATATTTATTAATCCTTATATACTACAAAAGCTCTGCCATATCACCATACATTAAAAATTACAAAATTAAGTCAACTGTCCAAAAACTTTTCTAAATCTGTTTTGTCATCTTCAAGCTGGATTTGTTCAAGGGTAATATTTGGAGAAGATGGCAACTCTGAAATATAGATGAAATAATACAAGTTATATATTTTGTAGCATGGCAACATTACATATAATTTATTACTTTTCTGAATTATTCCACCATCCTACAAAAAGTCTTCAGAGAAGCATTCTTTAAGAAACAAAACATTTAATAGTACTAGCTGTTGCCTGCAACTCATCCACGCTTAATTAAAAAATAAATAATTAGCAGCCTGTTTATTGCTATGTTCTACATCTATGCCAAATTCAGAGAGATCCATGTAGCCATTCTAGTGATATCTTCAAACAAACAGCCATCCATTCAAACATTTGTATTTATATCAGGAAGATTAACTGTTGGATGAGACTATATCTTATTATTATTATTGAAAAATATCTTATTTAGTAGACTACATAACAGCATTAGAATTTAGAACCAAATTTTGGACAAATACAGATCATAGTCTAGAATGTGTTCCAATTAGATATATTCATTCTAGAGTAAACTCTAATGTGGTAACAAACATTAATGTGAGTATTTGGTCATTTATAATATTAGCAAGATATGGATATTCAAGGAAATAGGTTTATCAAACTTACTATGAGGCACACTGCCACTGGAGAGGTATATAGCAATATCTTTCTGGAATGCAATTGAACTATTTTCTCTCTTAGCTTGTAGTTCAGCTAGCCGCTTTCTTTCCCTTTCCATATTTTGTTCAGAGTTCTCTTTGGCTAACTTTGACCGAATTTCTTCTAACTCAGCTGAAAAGTATTAAATAAATAATATAGGAATTAGGTAAAAAGTAATGTACCTCACAAAAAACAAATGTCATACTCATTTTTTTCTCTTTATAAAGAGTTAGTTGGTAATGATGGTCTAATTTCCATTTCTCCATTTTTCTTCTTTCAATCATATCTTCAAACTCTACCATTTGTTCTTCAACATCATGTAATAGTATTTTTAGGTTTCGTAAGCCGTCTGCACATTGTGCTACAGAAGCTGTTACTGCTGGTAATTGTGATAAAGCTTGAGAAAAATCTTTATAACTTTTTACTCGTGTATTGGTTATGCCATGTAGTTCTTTGATAAGTTTATCAACTTCATCCGCCGCTTTTGCATTTTTCTCCGCGTTCGCATGGATGTCTACCCAATCATTTTGATACTTTTCCAGTATTTCCCCTCCAGCACTGTAATTAACTTTGCTTTCGTTTGCAACTTTTTGTTTATCTTTAAAAATATTGGTCACTTTATGAACTTCTTGTAAAGTTTGACGTAAATTGTTATGCGAACTTAAACCATCTTGTACAACAGAGATAAAATCTTTCAGATTTCCTAACATTGTTAAGTTTGAAAAATAACTTTTCAATTGGACATTTTCTACAGTGAGAGTTTCTGTTTGTAAATTAATTTACATCGACATCGATTGGAGAAATATCATATGACATTGTCACTGTCATGTCACAGGTCACGATGTTTTTGTTGTCATGTTGTGAATTGATTCTATAAAATCGGGTCAGTATTGCTACTAAAGTTAAAAAGAATTGGAAAAAAATATCATTAGTTGTTTCACAGAATCTACCAACCAGCTTATGAATTATTTTTGCAACTAGAACAGATTGTAGCAATGCAACAAATAAATTAGGTAGGTTTCAAAAAGTAGATTAAAATTGCAATATTTGGTTGTCTTTGGAATTTGTTTGTCGGTTGATTTGTCTATGGTATTTGAAACTGAATTTCAGTTCATTGCAATTATTTATCATAACTTTTCTTTAACTAGAATATTTTGTGTTTTAAGACTCTTTTGTATACTGGAAGATATAATATGAGTGAAGAGAAACTGTGTAGCGATGAGGTACCTCGTAAATTTACCGAATGGATGTTGGCCATGGGTTGTCCAACAGAGTATCTTAGTGCAGAAAAGATAACTTTGTAAGTACATACTTATATTTTCCTATTATATTCTGTTTTGGAACATAGAAATAAAAGTTACAAAAAAATGGATTTCAGGATATGCAGAGGGCAATATTACATGGTATGGCGGAGTTTAATGGAACATGTTTATCCTAAGAAAACAATAAAAGAAAAGAGATTACAGGTGTTCTACAATGATATAAATATATGTAAAAAAAGCAACGCATTTAATCAGGTTAGTATAAAATGTATATTTAATATTAAAAATGACACTTAAGATGATTTTGTATGTGGGAGTTTTAATGCTTTTTCTATCCTCTGTAGTGTCAATTTAAAACAGTATTTTCCAGTATCTGAGCAATTTTTCAATTAGAATAATAACTCAGTTTATATTATTAAGATATTATAAATAAAAAATCATATAATTTCCAGCAAAATACAAAAGTAGTTGTACCGGAGCAACTATCAGTTTGGCGGCAGCACAATGCTTTACAGAACAATGTGTGCGATGCTGAAATCAGATTGAAACAATCACAGCACATGTTACAACAATTGATGGATAAAATTGAAACAAGATGTATGATAATTTCCATAGATCAAGTATTATTAAGACATTAAAATGTTTAATACTAATATTCAATTGAAACACATTTTGTTGGCATCCCTGTTGCAGCATGTTTCTTTAAAGGACCTATATAATATACATGCTTTTGCTTACAATTCTGTCTGCATGACTACAAAAAACTTACATAGTAGCCTCGGTTTTACATCTGTGTCAAATTTCATCAAGATCCATTGAGCCTCAGCAGATACCATCTATCAAACTTCCATCCATTCATCCATAAACATTGGCATTTATCATATTAGTAAGATGGTAAAAAATTACAATAAAAATGATATTTAATGTTTTTTCACCTAAATTACTTTAAAATATTGTTTATTTTCAGTGTCCCAACGTAACATATCATTTCAAAAGATACAAGATCTCCAGCGTAGAGTTTGGCTTCTCCAACATGTTATTGAGGATTTGAAATCTAAGAAGGATAACTTTGAGGAGACAGCAACAATTGCAAATTCTTTATGTCATGTTAAAGATGATGGTGATATTCAGGTTCGTTATGTACTTTTATACACCATTTTATAATGTCCAAAATACATTTATCTGTCAATCTTACAGCCATATAAAAACCATACAAGATTGAGGTATCATTTGATTTAAATTACGCAAAATATGCGCTATTTGTGGAGTTATTATACTTGAGTTGTTATTTTAAATTATCTTCATCCTATTCAGGGAAGAATAAATATAGATTTTTTATCTTAAATTATAGCATACATCAAATTTACTAATATTTAGTAAACATTCCAACTAAGATTGGCCTATGTTTGAATATGGTTCATGATAATTAAATGGTGGGAATCTTACCCACTCACATGATTGTATATTGAACTTTAGGGTATTGGTGTTCAATTTTATTGTTTTTAAAATTAACTAACATGTTTCCAGACTAAGGTGGACAAATGTCTAGCAGTATTACACCGGCGCGGGTCCCAGGCATCGAATGCGGCTTCTCTCTCCCTCGCCTCTATAGCCAACCCTGCCGCCTGCTCCTCAGTTGTGTCTACTCAGAGTGAATGTAATGATAATGGTCAGTTTTTATTCCACTAATATTATAAAGGCGAATTTTTCAAAGTATCTTCAGAACGGCTGCATGGATTGGCTGAAATTTGGCATAGATGTATAGCATAGTCTGGAGGAACAAATAAGCTACTAAATAAGATTTTTTTCATTCCGCGTGGACGGAGTCGCGGGCGACAGCTATTTATATTATAAGGTGGCAAATCGACTGCTTCCCATTGACAATTGCAGATGAATTGGTTACCTTTAATCAACGGAGAAGATGATGCACAGAACAGAAGATTTCCTCTTCCTATGCACCCCCTTCTTTTTTTTCCTATAAGAAAAAGTTGGGAAGGGAAAGGGAAATATTACATTGTTAAATAGGATCTATTCCAACTAGAGTGTAATATTTTCAGAAGAGGAGGTGTCATCTTTAATGTACTGTGGCGCGGAGGTGTGGGCTCAGCTGCGCGAGCGTCGTACGACGCTGGCTAATGCTATAGCCGCTGCAAAGATCGAAACTATGTCTTGTGAACGTGATATACGGTAATTTCTTCAGTTGGCTTTTTTGTTACATTCTATATGCGCAAAGAAGTTAGTTGCATATAATTTTGTATACATATCGAGTGATATTTGTAGTCAGCCTATAATAAGAATGCATGCATCCTACCTTCTAGTAAAAGTCTTGTCAAACGTGGCTTGCAGACAGATTCACAAATGCGAATGTTTAGATGGATGGATGTTTCAAGGTATCTCCAGAACGGCTGAATGGATCTCGATAAAATTTGGCAGGAATATAAAACATTATCTGAAAGAATATATAGGCTACTAATTATTTTTTTTAATTCCGCGCATACTGAGTCGCGGGCGACAGCTAGTTTGTAAATATAAATGAATTTATCATTACAGTGTCACCCCCCAGTCAGTGATAACACACACGGCCAGCCTGCACTGCACACTCGCACTAGAAGTTATGAAGAACAGGTTGCACTTCGAACATATACAATCTAGATTAACTAATGCAGTATCACAATTAAATGTATGTATTACTTTATTTACTGTGTGTTTCTGAGACTAACTTCTCCAGTTAACACATATGTTGTCTCTATTTTGTCAAAAATAATAATGACAGGGATGATGATATTTTTATACAGACATTTTTGGTGTCAGAAACCATACATGTTGTACAACACTATGATCATATAGAACACGTAGGCTACTAATTGTGTTTTATTTTAAAGTCCGCGCGGACGGAGTCGCGGGCGACAGCTAGTATTAATACATAAAAATTTGCAGGACTGTCTCTCCGGTGAGAATTGTGAACTGTTGGTATTGAAATGTGAGAAAGAACAATCTGAAGCCAAAGTGAATGCATTAAAAGTGCTATTACAAGATTTAAAAACAAAAAGTGGAATATTCCATACAAATGATGATGAAATAATTGCCTCACAAAAACCAATACAACAAATAGCTGTTATTGATAAATCTATTGTAAGTAATCTAACACATTAAATTGTATATTTCGCCCTCCATTGATTTTAAGCATAAATAGCCAAAGTTTTAGCGTTTCCGGCGCCCTGGGCGAGATTTTAGCGCCACCCTCTTCGGTGTCGAGGAAAATCTACCGAAGATAGGTTGTCTTAGGGGGTGTTTCTGGCGCCCTCGGCCTACTGATTATAGCTTAGCTCAATTGATGAACCCCGACTTATTTGATGATATGGCCTCTAGTAGGCCTTTATTGTATTTCTTATATATGCAAGGTGACATAATTCTGGTCCTTTCCATCATGTTCTCATGAAATTCTTCAAGAGGACAAACAGAAAGTTAAATTTACTTTATACATGTAAAAACGTACCACGAAAATTTAGTTGATAAAAATTATTTTCACCTTAAAAAATCTTACGTAAGATTGAGTTATGCTTGCAATTCCTAAATATATTTAATGTTTTAAACCTACTCTATCTGGGAACCTGACATAATTAATAAAATGTTCCTCTAACTTACACAAAAAGTAACCTTTCATACTTCCAGGAGACAAAAAGGGATGAATTAATGTGGCTGATCGGTTCCCTGTCTATGATGGAGCGTAAGATACACAACGCTAAAGAATGCCTGCTCACTGTGTTCAATAATCTGAGAAAAGATTTGCCCGCACATGAAAATTATATCAACAAAGGTAAGAAACAATACATAGAAATAGGAATTTGTAGGGAAACTAAGAATTTTCTTAATTAATCTTCTAAAGTTCTAAAGTAGGGACGATACAATAGAAAAAAAAGTTTTTTTTATAAAAATTACTTGAAAATTGACCCCAAAACCTTTACTTCACCTCAAATCTATTATGCAAAAATGCTCAGATGATTTTTTTTTTAATTTTGTGATTATATTTTTTATATAGGAATACAACTGGATTTCCCAAAGGAGCAAATATCAACTCTTCGTCAATTTTATGAAGAAAGACGGGAGAGGCGCAGATTAAAACAAGATCTGAGCCTAGATATGGACTTATCGGAAACCTCATTCAGTGATGTGGGTATGTATCTTTCTAGTTAGATATTTTAACAGAAATGTCCATCTAAAATCTTTATTTATAAAATTTCTGATTTTACCTTGTAAATGTACAAAATGAATATGTAAGAAGTCTACTCTATTTTTTTTATTTAAAAAATATATCGTGATTCATCTATAACAATATTATGAACCATCTAAATACTATCCTAAACTATTTAAATCTTTTTCTATACAGGTAACGATCCAAGATATGTTGATGAATTAAAAATTTATTTGAATAAGTTTAAATTGGAACTGAACAGGAAACTTGTTTTAGAAAGGTAAATTATAACAAACACAACTTTATTAGATACTAGCTGTTACACACGACTTCGTCCCGCGCGGTATTAAAAAAAATCTTTATTAGTAGCCTACGTGTTCCTCCAGACTATGTACTACATCTATGCCAAATATCATCAAGATCCGTCGAGCCGTTCTAGAAATACCTTCTGTAGTGTATGCATAAACGTAGTGTTGTTTGTCTCGAGCGTACACGTCATAAGTACATGCCGGAGAGAGGGGACGTCAGACCTTTGAGCCGGCAACACGTGTCGGTACGTGAACGAGACAAATATAGCTCAACGAATGCTACACCTTCAAACAAACATCCATCTAAACTTTCGCATTTATAATATTATTAAGATTATTACAATCCTTTTGTTAAATATAATTTAATAAGTAGCCTATGTATTCTTTCAGACTATATTCTACATCTATACCAAACTACATCAAGATCTGTTGAACTGTTCTTGAGATATACTGGGAATGTTTGCATGTATTAATGGATGTTATGATTAGAAGTTATCTCCAGAACGGCTGCATGGATCTCGCTGAAATTTGGCATAGATCTAGAACATCTGGAAGAACACATAGACTACTTATTAAGTTTATTTCAATACAGCGCGGACGGAGTTGCGGGCGACAGCTAGTTATAGTTATATATTTTTCAGCGGTGAGAAAATCTGGATATTTGAGACTATACAAGCATTGATCAGTCAACTACAATCACAATGGTTATCAGAAGACATGTCATGTTCCCTTCTGCCTCCATCCACAGGTCTGAACACTTTGCGTCAGTTACTTGAAGAAATTGACACCAAGTGTACACTTGAAGCTTTCCTTAGACAAAATAATGGTGTTAGGGTAAAAGATGTTTCTATAGGTAAGTTTTTCTTTAATTGTGGCAATCCAGTTTGTTTTTGACCACTAAAATATATTAAAAAAAAGACCCTTGACAGACAAACAGACGGACAGCATGATTATATAAGGGTTCCGTTTGTTTTTCTTTTCGAGGTAAGGGAAACCTAAAAAGCAAAAGTAATTTGCAATTGTTTGTTAATGTAATAAAAGCATGTTGCTATTTTTTTATTGAATTCCCATACAATTAATTTATATTTAGTAATATAAATAATAAATTAAACTGATGTAATTTTAAATAAAAAAAATCTTTTTTACAGATATAAAATCAATAACCGAAGAAGAAGCACAAAGGGTTGACAAAATGAAAAAGCAAATGGCGCGCAACCAATTGACATTACAGCAGAGTATTAAAATCCTGGATATAGGAATGGACAATTTAAAATTCTGGAGCGATAATGACCTTAAAAAATATATCTCTAGTAACAGAACTGTTGATGGAAAGACATATAGAGAATATGAAACTACTTATTTAGAAACTCTTAGCTTAAGTGTTTAGATATTATATATTAAGCGTTTACAATACTAGACTAATTATTTTCCCCTAAGAAACTTTATGTCCAAATAACCTACTATCATTCAAACTTAAGTGGTGATGAAGCCGAAATCGAGGATAAAAGCTCTAGCCTCGCGCTATTGGGAAAAAATGATGAGCCTGAGAAAATCAATCTGGCGGTAAAGAGGCCATATAGAGAACTGATTTCACGACTATTGTTGACTATGGAAATCCAGTTTTATGGATCTTAAACTATAAGTTTTTACCAAGGTGAAGTTGGTATGTTGAGTTTATTATGTGGGCCGATCCCGGCGGCACTGCAATGCCGGGCCGACCCGTGACGGGAGTGGAGCGAGCCCCGAACATCCCGTCGTTTTACAAAAATCAGTTTAATATACTGGTCCCGCGATGCGGGAACTTTCAGATATTAAGCTGAAAAGAACAGATACTACACTTTGATCTTAGCCAAAAGGCCGAGAAGCGATAACGGAGCATTGCCAAACGACAAAGGTCTTTCATTAGACATGAATCTCTACATCGCAATCTACCTTTTTAAACAAAGTTTGAACGCCATCTATCGGTGAAAAACAAAACATCCACTTAAAACTGCCAAATAATTCTCAAAAGTTTATTTCGTAGTATAGTTGTTCGTTAATAATAATTTTATAATTAATAATAATTAAACACCAGTAGCAGACAAAAAATCTATTTAGTGTAAACAATAAATCCCCGGTAGAAAAAACTTTTTTTTTTTACAAAATATTGTGTAAGAATTGGTCGAATTGGGAAATCCCTTATCTAAACATGAAGTGTAAAGGTGAAGGATGGCGTGGGTGAAGATTTTTTTTACAAAAATTAAAATTTATTTTCACACAGACACCAACATTTTTTATGTCAAACTTTATTCTCTCTGATCACAGATTCGGATCAACTAAAAAAAACCTGATATATTGCGTTATTATCGTTCAACTTCAATCATTCATATGTAGTGAATGTTAGAAAGAGAAGGATGATAGTGTCGCGTTGGATAAAACCGGTCGAAACCGCGTTGGCCTTGACTACGAATATGTTATGCGACGACCCTTTATAGCGACGACTTAGTTTTATGACTTCTTGTGTATACTAAGAAGTATAAATATACGCTACGTAAATATAAATGTCATCGGACGTATATTTCTAGCTATACTAGCTTACGCCCGAGACTTGGTGCGCGGTGAATTAAAGTAAGAAAACTTAATTAGCCTATGCGTTCTTCCACACTATGTTCTACATCTATGCCAAATTTCAGTGAGATCCATGTTGCCGTTCTGGAGATACTATATGAATATATCGTATATATCGTGTATTGGGCTAAACATGCATCAATCCATCCAAACATTCGTAAAATAGATGGATTCTTTTATTTCATACAAGTTTGACTAACAACAATGACATGACGGACAACTAAAGTATTCAACTAAAATATTCATGTCACTACCTGTCGCCCGCGTTGCCGTCCTCGCAGCATTAAAAAAACGTAATTAGTAGCCTGAGTGTTCTTCCAGACTGTGTTCAACAACCATGCCAAATTTTATCAAGATACGTTAGTCGTTCCGGAGATACCTTCAATCAACCATTCATCCATCCATCTATTCATTCATCCATCCATCTATTCATTCATCCATCCATCTAAACATTCGCATTTATAATATTAGTAAGAAGTAAGATTTTTACAGATATTTCTAAAAAGTTTGATGTTTTAAAACGCATATTGGTCTTTAGGTATTTACTTCGACACAGAACATAAGAGTACATTCGAAGAAGGGTAATTTCGCATCGCTCAACTAAGTAGCAACATTCACAACTCGTTATATAATGTCAACGAAGTGATCGTTGATATTCAGTCGAAGTAACCAATCGTTAATATATTATAGGTTATCCATTAAAGATAAAAATAACCACTAAAGTAATTCCGTAAATATTAAATTCCAGTAGTCAATAATAACATTTGTAAAAAACATCAATCAAATATGGTGACCAAATGTGTTATGTTGTTAAAAGCAATGTTTATCCGATTTCTAAAGTGATATTTTATATCTAGCTTAGTAGATAAGAGCCTGCAAAATGGATTGTGTGGACTCTCGTTTCAATTGATTCCCTCTTTTTGAACGAAAGTTACAAGATGATAATGTTACAATAATTGTGATCTGGAACAACACTAACATTTAGGGATGTACTGGATATCCTTATCCGTATCCACGGATATCCTTATCCGTATCCACGGATATCCTTATCCGTATCCACGGATATCCTTATCCGTATCCACGGATATCCTTATCCGTATCCACGGATATCCTTATCCGTATCCACGGATATCCCTATCCATATCCACGGATATCCGTATCCATAGATATCTACTCTAATCTACTAGCGGTTTAGGATACGAATGCGACAGAGCGGACATACTCACACGAAATTACCTTGTTATTCTGTGAAATACTATTTTTAGATAGAAATAGATATTTAATGATATGTACCATAAAAATTTCGCCATGATTAACGAGTATCTGTTACAAGTGGATATCCATAGTTATGGATACTGATATCTAGGCATCACTAAATATAAATGTACGGATTATTTTATTTATACATACCATACATTTATATTTAGTAATGCGTACGATACCATAATAAAATTGTGTCTTTTATAATATTTCTATTCCGAATCTATGTATAATTTGTTGAGTGCTAGAGTTCATTTTCACACACACTACATTATAAAGTATACCTACGCTCACTCAACAAATAAGTCGGTCGATACTGTGCTATTATTATTACTTTGGTCTGTCTCGGCGCTCGGTTTGAGCGAACTCAAGCTGAGCGAGCGAGGTCATTACATTATGAAGCGTTATGGGACCAGCCGATAATAATTCTTCGCAGTTGCGCTCGGGGCAAATGGTATCTTCCATAGAACGTTGAATAAAGATAACTGCGTACTGTATCTTCTGTGTGTGAAAGAGACAATATGCTGCAACGGCGTCGACTACCTAGGAAGTTGCCTGCTAGGCAATACTGGCACTTCAGTATTCTGGCATAGGCGTCGGTGTCGGTGTTTCAATACCTGAACGCTTGTGACTGAGCAAAGCGAAATTTTATTCGGTCAGCCTGGATACAGCTCGGTGTTCGTTCGTGATCGAATGACATTCGTTCGGTCGCTTATGGTGTCGGAATATTATTATTCCAAGCAAATTAAACTCGATTAAAGTTATATTATGCAAAGAAGATACATCCGGTTTGTACAAAAAAATTGTGCATAATTCGGTGAACACTTCTGCAATACTCTGAAATTTTGTGGTTCCCGCTTGTCATATTTGGCCGGCCATCTTGTAAAATGCTTATTCGTATAGCTGAAACGAAAATTGTTTGATTTTTTATTTTTCTTTGCTTTTTCATAAGATAAATAATGCTTATTAAAAGAGGTTTATAAGCGTACTTTATAAAAGTCGAAAGTGGATTATTGTTATGAATTGGGTGCCAGTTGGGAGCTGAACTTTAGTGAATAACAATAACAATTAGAAGTTCGGATTAAACAAAACATCGGAAGTTCTTTTTCAATTGGACAATGAATGTAAGTTGTTATTGCATATAAATAAAGTTTCGTGTTGATTTACTTTATGGAATATTCATAAATTCATAAATTGAAATAGAATGAAGGAAACCGGTGAAATAATTCGACGTAGTTGAATGCTTTTATATTCCCATTGCAACAACAAACATATTTCACTTTCCTTTACTACTTCAATATACCATATATAGCCAATTAAATGATATTTTCATAAAATAGTTTTTAAACCCTTACATTGTTTTTAAGAATTGTTTTGGCGGTCGTCATTTGTTCTTAAGAAAAAAATTAACTAAAATGGTTAGTTATGGAATATTTGTAAATAAAATATAACTGGACATTATACCTACTATATAGACGTTATACCTACTATATTTTCATATACAATAAATTTCACTAGAGGTGGATACTAAAAAAAAAATAGTTTTAGTATTTGCTCTTTAGGATAATTTATAACTAATTTTAATATGTATATATTTCGATATAAAAACAACAATTTTATACATACACTTGACTATACTTTCACCTCTCCGATAGTATTTTCTTATTTCATTTTACTTTATATATATAACAAGTAAATGGAGTTACAAGTCAAAATTGTAATTACAAACAATATAATAAATAAAATAGTAAAGGTACATAGATAGTGTTAGTAATATTGATGCAAACATTACTCCATTGATTTATTTAGTTAAATAGTTCAAAAATTCAGTGCCATTGCCGCAATGCTGACTTTGTTAATTTTTGTACTCAAAAAATTGTAGTAGCATAGAATATGTTCAATATATATTAATACTAGATATTGCCCGTGACTCCGTCTGCGCGGAATTAAAAAAAAACATAATTAGTAACATGTTTTTCATCAAGATCCATTTAACCATTCCGGAGATACACATACTTTCAAACAAACAAACATCCATCCATCATCTATAATATTTGTAAGATATGTTTTAATATAATATTTCTACAATTTAAGCTAAAACGTAAAGGTTTATAAAACCTTGTGTGTTACTTAAGTGGCATAAGGCCAGGTAAATGGTGTTGACTATTTCATAGTATCAATATTTAATTCTTAACAATTTTTTAATCTCGCCTTCATGTTTCATGCAGTAAGGGTTTAAGATGGTTCACTTATTTACAGGTGTACCATGGCTACGAGAATTGAATCTGAGTATCCTCCGTCACCAACAAACAATGATTCAGGTTAGTTTTTTTGCTTCTTTTAATATCATTTACTAAAATTAATTTAATAAAATAAAAACACTATGATTGCTTTCCTTTAATAACTGTATTATTTGATATAGAATATAAATAATTGAAAATTTAATTATTTTCAAAATTAAAAAGTGTAAAATACTTGACCTGTAAGAAAACTGTAGATTTTATGGAAAAATAAAATAAAATAGAATTAAATAATGCTAACAGATAAGTGGTACTTTACATTTTATTGGTAATTTTTAATTAGAAGTTTGAGATGTATTTGTAATTTTTTTTTGTCTGCTTGTTCATAACTTGCATGCTCTCAACGGCAAGGACAAGTGTCTTGAGTATGTAGGAAGATAAACCTAGTTTTAATCACTATTGTTTTTAATTTTTTCTACAATTTTCACAAAATAAACTTCTAATAAGGCTGACTAATCATCTCTGATTTTTTAGCTTATAACATTTTTGTATTAGAGTAAATATGAAAAAGTTTTCTGTTAAAAAAAAGTGAATAAAATAACTAAATACATTTTTGTGTTTTAGAACATAATTTAATTCAGTTATTTCCATTACTACAGAAATATTAAAAATGTGTATTTTTCGAATTTCAGATGTTGAGGAGGAGGAGCCCATTGATGATGATTTTGAAGAGGAAAAATATGATACTAAGACAAATAGTAATGGAAATGGTTTTGCGGATATATTAAAAAGACTCGAGTCTGCCGGAGCTCTATTGAAAAAACCTAAAAAAGAGTATCGTTGTAGAACCTGCGATGAGGATTTTGTTGATTGGGAAGACCTGGAAAATCATTTATATCAACATGTATCACTGCCCTCGGTGGTACTGGAAAGGCTGCCTTCAGATGATGAGGATATGGTCGCATCCGAAGATGACAATTGGTCTGATGACGAGGAACTACAGCTTCCACACAAACAAGAAGTGCACAAGACGCCACAAAAAGTGGATATCACTGAAATCCTAAAGAAGACTGGCCTTACAATTAAAAAAAGTGACACAGGTAAAAGTTCTGATGCAGCATTAAATAAATTAAGCAATTTAGGATTTACAATAAAGAAAAGTTCTACTCCTATTAAGAAAGAAAAGATTGAGGAAAGAAATGAGCAAAGTGATAGTAACAGAAATAGAAAAGTGGTGAATATAAAGCTAAAGCTTAAATCAGATGGCAAGAATAATAATACATTTAAAGTTGTTAACGGCTTAAAAGGTTTTAGACCATCTGATGATGAAGATGACGAAAGTGAACACGAAGGCGGAAATGATGAAGAATTTGGCGACGATAAAAGTAAAAGTAAAGAAGAAGACGAAGAAGACTTTGAAGCAGACTCTGATGATGAACAATATTTAAATGATAGCCGACGTAGTTCAGAAAACAGTGAGTCTGGCAAAAATGATTTACAAAGTCAGATGAAGAAATTACAAGGAAAACAAATTAAAATTGAACCTATTAAAATACAAAAATCAGACTTGCTAAGCAAGAAAATTGTGAAAAAATCACCTGCTAAGATGGCTATTAAACAGGATGCATCGATGGAGCAGAACAAAGAAATTCTCAAAAGAGATACCCCAATTGTAAAACCTTTGGGCAGACCGTCAGTTAAACAAACACCAAAAAGAGGTCCAAACAACCCTCTACCTATTAAGAGTCAAGAGTCGCAACAGACAAGTCCATCACCAACAAAAGAAGTTCAGAAAACACCGGAAAGACGAGAGTCCCACGAAGTTAATCCTTCAAATGTTGTAGTGAAACAGGAAGTTCACGATTTTTCAGAGACGGAATCAAAAAGCGTATCACTTATATCACAAGAAATCAAATCTGAAAGAACTTCACCTCCATTGGACAGAGCGCCTACACCTATAATACCGAAGATTAAAACTGAGCCGGGCCTATCAAATGCAAATTCTTTTCTGCCGGTTACAAAGACTGAAGACTCAAATGTAACTATAATAGAAATAAATGGCGACTCTAACGACGAAGACGACGATTGTTGTGTAGTGTCCTCTACGCCCGCATCTGATGTCAAACCAATTGTTCCTAAAACGGAGGCGACACCATTGCCGCCTACTTATTCGACGGCATTGACCTATCCGTCTTCTTCCCAACCCAGCTATTCCGGAGCACCGGTTCTAGCATCACGACTTTCGTCTACGCCGTCATTAGAAAAGCAACATAACTTTAACTGGAATGCCCCAGATTCAAAACCACCTATAGATATGCTCGAAAAAAGTGCTGACGATATTTTTGAAAGTCTCCTATCGTCTTCGACAAAGAAAGAGAACATGTCATCGTTATCTGAAGTCAGTGAGTATATATCTCTGGACACTTTAGGGCCGAAGCATTCGTGTGAAGTGTGCAATACCAGATTTACTGATATATCACTATTGGAAGAGCACAGGAGAATGACGGGTCATTCAAACAGTCTTGTGGCATCATCATCATCCACGCTCCTACCCTATACTCCCGCATCGAACTTATTGTCAACATTACTACCGGTCAAATTAGCCGAGCAGGTGGGCAAGCTCTCCACCATTGGTAATTCAGGACCCGGTTTTACCCACCAACAAAATGTGATGATTAATATCCAAGCATATCCTGGAGCAGGAGGAGTCATGCAGCCACCTCCACAGCCGTACAACTCGTACGGCCAACAGGGGCACAATCAACAAGGGGGATATACTCAAACCCCAAACATGTATGCTCCATCCCCAGGGCAGTCCATGCCGGGACAATATCCGGGATCCACTTATCCTCAGAGTCCTGGTTATGGTCAGTATACGACACCTATGTCGACAGCTGGTTATCCGGGAGCGATGCCAACAAATGTTTATTCAACTGCATCCCCACTACAAAGCATGCAGCAAGCTGTCTATGGACAAAGCGCAACCGGCATGATGAACCAACAGCCGGCTACGATGATGGGCCCCCCAGGATCCTCGCCTAGTCAAGTTTACTCATCGGCATCGAGTCCTAACGCCATGAAACAATCGAATAACATAAGAATTCAGAACGTACAAACCTTTCCTCCTGGTCACTTAGGACAGACTATTAATTCGGGTCAAACAACTACGTCAGGTCAGCAGGTTGGCATCAACCAGCAACCTATGCACGGTCAGAATATGTCTATGGGACAGCCGATGCAAGGTCAAATAACGAATCCCACACAGATTCGCATGGCGGTTGGAGCCAACAACCCGGCGCTTCCTCGAACGCGAATGCCGAACGTTCGTGGTCCACGGCAAGCGATACGACCTATCGTGCAACAGGGACAGGTCAGAGGTGGAGCTGCCAAAGGCCCTAGAATGCCTTTGAAAAGACCTGGACAAGTAATCGGGGGCACCCCTCAGAAGAGACGGACGGACGTGCTGCTGCCAGGTAAGCATGACAACGAAGATTGTCAAGTTATGTCGATGCAAAAGCAACGCGAAGGGTTGCCTTTGATCCACAGTGTACAAGGTGCCAAAGACAAATTGAATTTCGGCAGCCAAATCTCTATAACAAAGAAAACTGTGAACAAGGAAGCGAACGCGATGGCCAACGTGTTAGCCTCGCGCGGTATTAGTGTGAAGCAGAAACAGAAGAGTCGGTCTCCGACGCCCCCGCGCGCTCTGCCCAACTTACCTAACATACCAGGTGTCAGCATAAAACATACATCGAAATCCAGTAATTTCTCAATACCAGAAGCTAAGATCGGCGGCTCAATGCTTTCCTGTAAGATCTGCAAGAAGATGTTCATGAGCTCGACTTCATTGTCGGTACATATGTCAAACGCTCATCCGCAGAGCAAGTTACCTTTGTTTAAATGCGACGAGTGCCCCGCCTCCTACCCCAAGTCACTGCAATTGCAACATCATAAACGTGTGTTCCATAATGTGACTGGTCCCGACAGGGAATTGGGGCTGCCTGTTGTAGATCTATCGCAAGAAGACAATTTACAAAGGTTGAGTAATTTAGGTATATACAGTTTTATTCCGTTAGCAAATCGGGAGCAAGGTAACGGATGTTTCGGTATACCGGTAATATCAGTACATAATGTCCAGAATGGTTTGACAAGTGGTCTGCAGGCGCTCGGCGCCGATGGACTTTTAAGTCTCGGCCCTCTCAAGCCATTACCTAATTCTTAAACATAATTTCGTGATTTTAGATTTAACATAATGAATGTGCAAATACGTAAAATAATCTCGTTGTCTATAGTAGTATAAGTATCATCTCAAGTAATTTATAATAAAAGCGACAATATTCATAATGTTTTGGTTTATGCGAATCTCGCATAAGACCAAAAAATGTAAGGTCAATCAATAATAATTGTGTTCTATTTAAATTGTTCAGTCACAAAGTAGTATAGTTGCTTTATAATGTATCTATATATTTACTTTGTAACCTAACCTCAGAGTAATACTAAAGTCAATTTCCTTCCAAATGACAATCCGCCTTTTCAAAAACTATAGGTTCGCTCCGTTTCCCGACGCTTTTCTAAGAATAAGCGTATTATTAATGAAGTAATGCCTGGTTTACGTAAGGACAGTATTGCTGGCTTGATATGGACTGCTTTGACTCATACATGCCAGTTATTGTTTACATAACGCCAATGTATGTCAGCGGTGATATTGAGCACTACTGTCCTACTGTACTGGTATAATTTAAACCAGGCACAAGCTATTATAAGTTAGAGAGAGAATAATTAAAATACTGATTTACGTTAAGAGGATGTTTTGTAATCGTGTAGGCAGCTCGACAATTAACTGTTTTTTAATGACGTAAGAAAATTCACAAAATTTTGTGGCATCTTAAAATTATGTCATCGAATTGACGACTTGTTAGTAATTGTCAATATCTGGACATAATAACTTATATTGTTTTTGCAATGTTGATGGCAAATGTCGCGCTTTCTTTATTCCTTCATTTTGTTTTTGATCTCTAGCCAAAGTATGAGAAAGGAGATTTAACCAAGCGCATATAGAACGAACAAGATTTGAGTGGCGGCTCCACTGTCGCTAATAGAGTGACCTGATTGGTTGACAATAATGCCCAGCTTACATTATTCCAGTCCAGAGATAGGTAATCAACGCTTCATTGCAACTATAAATAACATTTTCGTTATTTCGCCGCTAGTTCCTATTTCCGCCACTTTCAAAAACCTTAGAACATATTCAACGATTAGTTTTATGTTATTTTACATGAATACTACTTTTTTTTACAAGTCAGTTGCCTGTCACCTTAAAAATGTTAGTGATTTCAAAACTAGAAATTTCACTAAGTTTTTTTTTTATGTAATAAGCCTAAATACTTAAAGTAGCTTTGTAAATTGTCGCCAAAAGTCTATTTTTAAGATTTAAATGTATGATAAAAATATATTTTGTATGACATAATAAGTTCTTAAATAAGGAATTAAATTAGATTTTTTTAGTCACAAGAATTATTGACAGGTGTTAGTTCTATCTTCTATTATAAAATATTTATATTATATTTAAATGTATATTGTTTCATAAAATTAAAGCATACAAGAGATTATTTAAACTAAGACAAGTCAAGAATGGTTCACAGTGGATTTTGGAGACCAAAATCTCGGTTTAAAACATATTATCTCTGTTTTGTCATAGATAATGAGAGGGATGAAGATTGTTTTATAGAGATTTTGGTCTCAGAAACCAACAATTAATATTTTTTGCCTTTTCATTTTTTGTTTGTTCAATTGTGCCTGTTTTAACTTCAATCCCTCAAGGCTGTAGTAAACTTATTATTTTCATGAGTGTAGTACAACCAATCTTAGTAACAGGCACTTTCAGAAAAGAAAGTTAGGGATGGATGAAGGTTTTATTTGATATGTAAAAAATGTAAATAAGAAGTAAAAGAACTAAAGGAAGTTCGAAGATTTATGAATAAAAATTATAACCAAAATCAAATGTTTTTGATTTGTTTATACCAACCTTATTCAATCTGCAAGAATTTGATAACCATGTTATCCTAAGCTTGAAAAACTTGGTTTTGAAGTCAAGGGAATATCATCACCTTTTCATGAAATAAAACAATAAAATTCCACAGTAGTACATTTAATTAAAACTTATGATCATAGTAAAGCTTGATAGTATGTTTTCACTATTGTTTCACTTGTAGAAGAAAAAAAATAAAACGTACATTTCGTTTTATTAAAAAATTTGAGCCCAAAAATATAAGTAATGCAAAACAATATGTGCACAAATAAATGTAATCTGGTTTATTACAATGTTGGTAATTGCCACACTCAGAAAAGTGTCGCTAAAATCCAGCATTAGAGTTTACGAGAAATGTATGCTTAGGTAACTAAAGGCTGATTCAGTAATTAACTTGAAAATGCTTCCGGAATGTTCTTAAGAAGTGCAACTATAAAATATTGTACCATCCAGAGAAGAGGTAGAAAGATAATATTGCACTAAAAACCTACAAATATTTAAAAAAATGATTAGAATTGACTTCTGATTAGTTTTACAAAATGTTTAAATATAGAGCAAATTCGTATGTGACTGAATAACATTATTCAAGACGGATGAGCTCAACATCAAAGATGAGAGTTGCGTTGGGTGGGATTACACCGGGGTGACCTTGCTGGCCATACGCATAGTCAGGCGAGCATGTCAGCTTGGCCCTTTCACCCACAGACATCTGGAAATATAACAAAAACATATAAGAACACACAAAGATAAATGTAATCTTGTTCTAATCCAAAGCCTAAATATTTTCATTATAGACATTCCTCAACTTAACAAAGGCATTATATGAAATATACAGAAAATGTATTAGTAGAATAAGACTATTTTTCCGTCTGAAATAAAAGATTGTGATATATGGAATTGAGTTTGTTCTATTCACCTGAGCAACTCCTTCATCCCAACCTCGGATGACCTCACCCTTGCCAATCTTGAACTTGAAAGGCTTACCACGGTCGCGGGACGAGTCAAACTTTTGACCATTAGTCAATGTGCCAGTGTAGTGCACTACTACAGTTTGGCCTTTCTTGGGGTATGAAGACCCTAAGAACAAAATAACATGTTACATAAATTGTTAAGTCATAATCATCAGCTCACTATATGTCTCTACTAAAGGGCTTGGAGCCTAAGCCAATGGTGGCTATGCCATAGTCAACCATGCTGGCCCAGTGCGGGTTGGTTAACTTCACACACATCTTTGAATTTCTTTGCAGATATGTGCAGGTTACATCACATTTTTTTTCACCATAGCAATGTTGAAGAAATTTAAATAAAAAAAAAATACATAAGGTACATGGCAGGTTTTTGGACCAGCAGATTACAAATGTCATAAAAGTACTTAACCCCTGAGTCACAAATGCCCTAAAAATAGAGAGTAGTGAATAACAGTGACCAAAGACCTCCAGTGGTCTCCATATTTATTATGGCACGAAATTTGGAAGCCATAAATTGAAGATAAGTTATAACTAGTTTACCTAAACCAATAATTGAAAACAGACTGTGAAAAACAAAGTTAGTAAATCTCTATATTTGAGGATAAAATTCTCAAGTGTTCACTATGGTAAGACTATGCATAGTAGCAGTATGACTTACACATTGTCTATCTTACTAATATTATAAATGTGAATATTTAGATAGATGGATGTTTCTTTAAATGTATCTTCAGAACTGCATGGATCTCGGTTAAATTTGGCATATATATAGAACATAATCTGGAAGAACACAGTCTACTAATTAAGTTTTTTTTTAATACCATGCGGACCAAGTTGTGAGCAACAGCTAGTGTCTATACAACCTGGATAAGTGAATGTCTAAGGGACTACAAGATTTTTTTCATATGAAGAAGTCTGTCTCTAACCCGAATAAATTGCTTATCCAGATTTGACTATTTATGTTTGAGTTAATGTAGACAGTTCAATTCTAAAGATAATGAATAACCTTGAGATATTCATAGACTGTTGTCTTGAAATGTGACATATAATTTTGTATTACTAAACGTATTTATCTATTGATATAATCATATTCAGAAGACAAATATAAAGGAGGAACTGAATCTAATAGGAAATGGGATTATGAACTTTATACACTAGTTGCCCCACCTAGTTAGTTCTCTGCATACGAAATTTTGTAAGATCATAAAAGTATTGTCATAAGATATCAATAAGGATAAAAATCAAGGTATTTTCATATTTTTCACACTAAAAATTATTTTTATATCTCAATAAAATTTCAACATAGTATATTCAGAAATATGTCGGTATATGTAAAAATGGTGTTGAAATACAAGGATTTTTTTCAATTACAAAAGGCTGAATGGTAAATTATACATGAATATTTAAAGGGTTCAAAAGATTAAATATCGATAGACAAGCAGGCACTTGGAAACTATTTTTGTTCAAAAATTTTCGGTACTTACCATCACCAGGGGAAAGTGTCTCCACGTTGACTCCCATTGCTTTTTCTTACTAACTAAATGTTCTTATCTGCCAAAGCGGTTAGCAAATATAGACAGAGGCTGAAATGCCGCAGAAAAGGTGTTTCCGGCTTCGGGACGCCGAGGTGACGGATGACGCCAAAGAGTATATAAAAGATGGATGACGCTATGGTACAGATAATATAAAAATATCGATATTATTAACTCTCAAAACACAAAATTTGTATCATTTATTCGTTTACAACTTAATCGTTATTTATGCAAAATCAAATAATATTAAAAAATTGTAATGGAATAATAGAACAGATCGAATATTAGAAAAAAAATTTTTTTCGGTTTTGACAACCTTTTTTTTTCGTTAAGAGTGGCGCTGCTATTGCAGCTAGTTGTATTAGAAAAATATAATCCGTTTCAATGAATCGTTAGAAAAGTATAATTCATGCAAAAATTTATATAAGCAAATATTTTTTCCAGAAGAAATGTTGCTAAATAATAATATCTGTTGTACGCGAAAGTTTTCTAATTCAACCATACAGATAACGAAAGGTTTTGCAAATAAAACTACAAAGACAAATATAAACACTTTATAACAAATAGCTCCATCGTTCATTTTACACACAGTGCCAGGCATTAATTATTAATAAGATAATACAAGCATTTCATAATATTAGATACTTTTAAAAATAATACCGAAATAATCACAAATATCTGATTGCAAATGATTCTAATAAGCTTAGCCTTATAGATTTATACCTCTTGATGGAGTGTTCAGAGCATAAAATTGAGGCCTGTTAGAAGGTTTTCGAATACCGAAGGTCTTTTTTGGGGTTAATTTGGGAAAAATTTCATTTTATTAGTAGACATTTGTCAAACACACTAATGACATTTCGAAATCATCTTACTTTGAAACACTCCATATCGTGGTATAATAATATCTGTGCTTAGCTAATTTTAAATAATAATTAGCAATTCAAAGTACCTAGAGTTCATACATTATTATGCTTATGAAATGATTATAGGGAGATCAAAAATCATATTTTGATTTGACACACTGGTATAATAAATTTATGGTTATTTATGAAATCTAAAATGATTTGCTGATTTGTTTGCTATTTTAATAGAATTGTTGAATATATTTCGATACAATATAAGGTAAGACAAAGAATGGAGTTATTATTTTACATTTTGTTTTCTTATTTGATTATTCTATAACCTTTCGAACTGTGACAAGAATATGCATATTTGAATAACTGTGTAATATAATTTGATTTCCTAAACATCATTTTATTGTATAAATCCATTGTAGTACATTTAATATATAAATATAATTTTGGCGTTTTGTGCATTTACATTTAGTCTCTACGTATCTTAAGTTTTATTAATCTTACACATTTATTATTTATCACAACACCGATTTAGGATTAACCTTTTTTAAATTAGGTAAGAAATAAACGTTAATAAATATTTAATGTGGCAACATTGCTATTAATAAATTATGAATGAAGAGAAGAATTACATTTTGCTCAAAAGACACTGCAGTACACCTATATGACATTGAGTAGTCACTAAAGGATACCTAAGTGCCCACTCAATGTGAAACTTAGTATAGGAATTACTTAAGCGACTGTTTTAGTAACAAATTAACGCCTCTGATGGTGGCAAATAAAACATATTTAACAATTATTTGTCATCCAACATATTAAATAATCTATCATTTTATGTCGAGATTGCAATTGAAAAGGCTTATTAATGATGGTTTAAAATTTAACAAAAGTAGCTTTAAGATAAAAGGTTTTTAGTGTACCACAAAAATATACTTAACTTATTAAAGTTTCTTGTCTATTTCTTTCATCAATAATTAAATCGCTTCGTCAAATATAATCCTCTCAAATAAACAACAGATAATGTAACATTTAATACATAGAGCAATTATTATAGACAACAATAACAACAATTACATTTTACTTAAAATCAAGATCTGTTCTTTGTAAACAAACGTCATTTGCTAAAGAATCGGCCATCTTGTATTTTCAGATACTTAATAGAAATCGTGACACAGTAAAGTGTGGAGATGTAACAAAAAGTTTGTTTTCGAAATAATTTTGCGTCTATAGTTTAATTTAAAACAGTTAAATTTACGTTTTTTTACCGTTGGTCTCTGTATAAAACATATCATCTCTGTCTTTCATGTTTGACAAAAAAGAGAAAATTATATGTTTTAAACGGGGATTTTTGTCTCAAAAACTCACGGTTAGTCTGATACCTTGTCTGTTTTTAGCTATTTAAACGTATAAAGTTTAGTTACAAAGTTGAGATCTTGATTTGAAGAATATACTTTTACGAGGGCGCAGCCTACATAATCACACATCTACACACATCAAAGCTTATACATTTAGGTACATTTATAAGCAACAACATTTATTTTTGTTCTTCTATATTGTCTTGTTTCTTTAAAAAAAAAACTATTCTGTTGATTAGGGCTTGTTACTTATACCAAGATATTTTTTTTTCTTTACCATTCATTTAATTAAATCCTATTGGATATTTTAAAGTCCGTTAATGGCAACATTATCATTTTTTAGTTTAAAAATTACGTAAAATATTAAACAAAAAACATCAGATTTTAAATTAAATCACTACATAACCTAGTTATTTCAAAATGGCACGAGAAATTGATGTTTAAGAAAAATCTGACTCAAAAATAAATCTGTGATATGTAGGAATTTTCTATGATATCTCAATTTTGTACAACAGGTGTGGTTTAAAAAAATAATATCTAATATTTGGCATATGATTTGGCATTAAGATGGTGACGATTTTTTAAAATCGGAATAGAATTGGTGTTACCAGTTAAAGATTTTCTACTACTAATACTTGCATTGTAAAAAATCTTACTCTACACATTTATACAACATGTTTTTTTTTATATCTCACTATTTTTATTTATTTGCGGCTGAGATTACTTTGTAATAAATAAATAACCTTATTTTTCTGTCTTACCATCCTTCCGTAAACCATTTTAGGGGACACATCCAAAAACATATAGTTATCCCTTTCTTTCTCTTAAAAAAAAGAGAGATAACAATCTACTTGTTTTTGTATAAGTTTTTCGGCACAGGAAATTGACTGATAATTTTAGATGGTTCGTAATGAATTATACATAAACAAATAAAGCTAAGGTTAAATAATCTGCCGTTAATAAAAATAATTATAAATAATAATGATAATTTCGACCCTATAATCTTTTACACAAAACGATTAACTTTATAATTCAAATATAATATTTAAAGGAAATGTGCACGAATGTCTGATTTTGACATATTTTGTGACCTTAAGGTACGATTAGACTACGAAATATACGTCCGACATTAATGTCTATATTGTTTACAGATTTTTACACAACGGCTTAGGCGACAAATTATCGTGTCGTAATAATTTTGGAAAGAGATTAACTGATTGTATAATGTCGTATTGTAACCGTAGCTTAAGAGAATGAAGTCACTTTTTAATTTGCATCAAGCCATGTCACAAAGTCATGAACACATAAAAAGGCTTGACTGATGTTAAAATGTGTGGTGTCCACTCGATTCGTTTTTTTTTGTTATTTTTTTGTTTTTGCGTTTCGGAAGTCTAATTTTAGCACTCTTCTCATCCTTATGTTATAAGGAAAGGATGGGATGGGGCATGGATTTGATTAGGGATGTATCCTTCCCCTCCTACTATCGTAATGGAAAATATTCTCTGTCTGTACGTGTCCTCCTATCTATAAGAGGTAGGCACCGCATCTGCAATTGTGTGTATGGTGGCGCATTGAGGTTACCGTATGCCACTTTACAATATATAAAAGAAAATCGTTACATCGTTTTGTGTGAGAGATCACTCCCAGATGAGAGACCGTCATGTCTAATTAATTCGCGAGTCGAGGACGGAGTGTTATGTGAGGTGCAGTGTTCTTACGGTGTGGAAGGTTCCTCCTCCTGGTTATGTTTGGCAAGAGCAAGTAGAATCATGGTGAGTTGCTTCCTGCTGATCTTGCCGTCACTACTGTACTCCACACCTTGGAGTATTGTCTCCTCAAATTCGAGAAGATCCTGAGCGTCGTAATCCTGGATATAAACGCCATATTAATTAAAAAAACTATATACAAAAACAATATTTTTACAATAAGGAAATTTACCTTTTTCACTAACTCCAGTAAGTCCTTTAAGAATCCACGCAATTCTTCGTTTTCTATTGAGCCGTTGTTATCCTGGAAATTGTTGAAGGATATTTTAAATGCAATTTCAGCAAACCTTTGCCTTTAGTTGACGGAGGAGTACAAAGAGTACGTACAAAAAGAGATTTCCTCTTTCTATGCATCCTCCCTTCCGTCAAACCCAATCCCTTCCCATTCTTTCTTTATAAGAAAAGGGAGGGAGAGAAAGAGGAGTAAAATTTTTGTCAATTTTACTTTTTTTACTTTGGCACGCATATTCATCTTACGAAAAGTTGAATTGGTTCTATTTGACGCAACATATGTGTGGTTATGACGTTCATGTCTTCTGCGTGGTCGTGGTATTCCACGCCTACACAGAAGACATAAACGACACGTATGTTGCACGGATGTGTTCGTCCAGTGCAATAGCACTAACAATAGCGTAACAGACGTTGTTGCTGGCTACAACTGTTAAATTTCTTGCTTATGGAGGTCGTACGTTCGGCCATGATAATGACTTTTTATAGAGGTATCTCGCTTATCCAGGTCTGACTGTATTATGTATGATTACGTGCATAATATTTAAAATACTTACCCTATCGTATAGTGAGAAAACTCTTTCGATGTCGTCTTTTGTTAATTTAGTAGCTCCCTAAAAGAAGATTAATGTCATAACATTTATATAAAATGCACCAAATAATTACTTTTAAAGTAATATAATTAATTAATTGTGTTGATACTAGCTATGAAATAATCGTACTTCATACTAATATTATAAATGTGAATGTTTAAATGGATGGATGGATGTTTGTTTGAAGGTATCTTCGGAACGGCTCACCAGATCTTAATGTAATTTGGCACAGATGTAGAACATTATCTGGAAGAACACGTAGGCTTTTGTTTTTTAATTCCGCGCGGTTGCCGGCGACAGTTATTTTAATAACAAAAATTATTATTTAATTACGATAGTTATAAACTTTTCTTCAATTCTATCAGATAAGTGGCAACTAAGATTTAAAAAAGATAGAAACGTAAACAATAAGTTTTAACAGGATCGCAACTAGTGCTGTGAATGTTTTATTAAAGTTATAAAATCACTAATTGTTTCTAAAATGCTAGTTTTTAATAGAATAAGAAAATAACTTAATAACTATGCAGTACAACATACTCGTAAAAAGAAAACCTAATTTCGTTTAAAAAAGTCAATTTATTTGCAGACAGTATTAATCCGATAAATCGTTCAAATTATAGATAGTTTTGTGACATGATTCGAGCGAGGTTTTCCTTTATTTATAGTGTCTTTCGATATACAAACTGCCAGTCTGTTATCTTATTAAAGTACGAAACTGACATTTTTCGTTATTTATTCGTATTGGGAATACTTTTTTTTTAACACTTTAATGTCAGTAATATCAAGTAGTGTAAAGTGAATTCGACACACAATGTGGCATTTAACGTATTATTGTTTAAGTACGTAGAGCCAAGGAATTTTATATCATATCATCCTACATATTGGCTCATAGCTTAAGGTGACAATTTGACGTACGATATCCTAAGTTGTAAGCGAAATTAATTCCTAGTATATCTTATGATACTTTTTCTACCGTAATTTTTATAATATATAATATCCAAACCAAGATATATCCAAACACTACAAACTAAGATTGCACCAAAAATAATTTTTAAGACGTGGCTAGGATGTTTTAATATCTCGTCAATAATTAATACTGCATAGTTACTAAGCTACGAGGACTCACCTCTATGCCCTCCTAGTAGTGCGCAGTGCGGAACACAAGCTAAGTGTTAGGATAGACGATAGAGATAGGCAAACAAAGAGTAAGTGCCATGCGTTATTTAAATATTAGTTTGTATTGCATTCTAATGTGCTCAATAGATTTAACAGGTTACTTTGACTATTATTATATCATCTGTGCTTTTACTAATTTAAAGGAAGTGTATACTCTGTGGTTGGTTTTGGCACGCTAAATTAAGATAGATTTTTACACTGTAGAACTAAAATATAGTTATTAAAATGACGATGAGTGATACTAATAAATGTGTGATAGCTTTTATAATAGCTACGAGCTTGAACCATGAAATAACCGTTTTTTGTTAACGGTTATTTTTTTTTATTCTGTCCGTTATTGATCAAAGAGTAATCAATACAGAAGATACATTAAAAATATTTATTCTTTTCAAATGATTTTATTTTGAGAAATGAAATAAAATGGATGTATTTATTGTAAAATTATGTTAGCGTCACGAAGCTTAATAAAGTGGAAAATGGAAACGCAAACTTAATATATCGTGTAAATGAGAAAATTTTAAAGCAGCCATGCAGATAATATGAGAGGTTACGAAGATTAATCATTGTATTATTTTTATTAAGTATTTATCGAAATATATGAAAATTAGTAAAATACAAACACTTCTTTTGTTAATAATAGACATTACTTTTTTTAATTTATCATAACTGAACGATATTTAAATGCATGCAAGTAAAATGTCATAGAATAAAATTATTCAGTTATTAATTTATTTAAATGTAAACAAGCTGATATGAAAACGATATGGAAATGTTCAATGTCTTCTGTTGAAAAGATTAATTTTAGAATATTTACCTTAAAAACTTGTCTGCACAAGAAATTTTCTTTAACGGGCAATAACCTAGAAAATTATAAATATTAAAAAATAACCTGCACAACAAAAAATAACCTAAAACCTAACCTTTTTTGTAATTTCACAAAACAGCTGATTAATCTAAAAAAAAATATTAAACAATTAAAAAAAAAGTAGACTACTTATTTGTGGTTGATCTGCCTTACTCTATTTCCCGGATAATATGAAATTATAACGTATTGTTCAAAGCTTCATATAGAGCATTAATTAAATTTGCCTGATCGGCTCTGAAGAGATTAAATCTAGATATTGATATTCACTTTTATAGTGCTGACATAATTTATAAGCCAGCGAATAGCCGCGATAAAAGCTTTCAAATTATCAAGAACTAACCGGATTATCTTATATCTTTAAATGAGCAATTCTTGTATATATATAATTGGAATCTCGGAATCGGCTCCAACGATTTTCATAATTTTAGTATATAGGGGGTTTCGGGGGCCATAAATCAATCTAGCTAGGAATCATTTTTAGAAAATGTCATTTTATTCGTGTTTTATCGATAATCAACTTAAACATAAACTTAACTTTTTCTATCGGTAAGATCGAAAAATATTATTCATATTTCATCATTTTATTAGTAATTCGTACTTAAATATAATTTACAAAGAACATAATTTAAAAAAAAATACCAATCAAAGCTGGGTCATCCAGGTACTTTATTTTAAACAAAGCTGTATATATTCGTTCTCTTTAGTTGATATTTTATTAGTTAAGTTTCAATAGTTTTTTTGTACATCTTCCTATATCTATATATAAAAGAAAGTCGTGTTAGTTACACTATTTATAACTCAAGAAGGGCTTTACCGATATTCCCTGTATTAAAGGAGGTAATGACTTCCTATAAGTTAAATTGCGTAAGTACAAGTTTTATAAGTTAAGTAATAATATTAATCTAAAGAGAACATAATAGTTAACTTAGGACATTGGATCGTAGTAAATTTTCCTGTTTTTAATAGAATGAAATCATAGTTATTACCTATATATATATTACTTACTTTGCCATTTCTGACAGCTGTAGTCTACCATCCTTGTTGGAGTCGAACACTTGAAGCTAATAAATGAAGACAATTTTAAATAAATATAATTATAAATATTCGTATTATAGTGTGTTTAAGATAAGTTTGACAACTGCCGCCTATAAGATATTGAATTTATTTTGTATGAGGAATAATATTGTACTTCTTGGACGGTTGTCATAGTTGTCGAACTAATCTATCTTGAATAGACACACTATAGTACCATTGAAATTTACATCTATAGATATTTGACATCAGGTAATAATAAATAAAACATTTTTAATTTAAGTTAGAGACATTAATTGCTTAATTAAACAGTAATTTACTTTTGGTTTCTGAGACCGAAATCTCTGTATAAAACATATCCCTTTCATTATCTTTGATAAAAAAGAGATAACAATGGATTAAATTATTCAAACTTTCGTGAGACATTATACTAAACTGATATATAAACACGGCTAAACACTGACGTATATTCGTCCGGTGGCGGCACCGACTAGTTTCGAGCCCATCGGGGGCCCACTGTGAGCGAGTGAGCGATGGGCCGCGTCCGCGAAATAATACCAGTACCACTCATCCTAATTAAGGGCCCTCGATGGGCTCGAAACTAGTCGGTGCCGCCACCGGACGATTATACGTGAGTGTTTAGCCGTGTTTATATATCAGTTTATAACAATGTATATTTTGACCTAAGAAACCTACGGTTAGACAACGTGACTCACCATTGTGTCAGTATATTCAATAAGCTTGTCTTCCGATACGTCGTTGATTTTCTTAGCTTCTTTTAATAAGTCTCTAAGAAAATTCTGAAAACAACACCATTGCTTACACCAGGATTTAATAAAAGAGAGTAAGTACATATTGAACCGACCTTCGGTATGTAAAAAGGCATTAAGATAAAGATTATGGGTGCTGATATTATGTATCCATCAATATCAATCTTATTGTCTTGCAAAATAAGAGAGGGTGTTAGTCAAAGTGCATTCACTCCGAATCGATTCAATAACGAACTTCAAAAATGTATAGAACTGACAATAATTATCGATAAGTCATGTGATTGACGCGCGTCAGTTCCATACATTCTGAAGTTCGTTATGGAATCGCTACGAAGCGAATGCAATTTGTCTAATCCCCATAATATGACAAATTAAACTAAGTAAAATAACGCACCTTTAGTTCATCTGCTTCGATGTACCCACTGCCGTCCGTGTCGTACTCACGCCAAATCTGTGTACATCACGTCATTCATCATAAGCTCATTATACATCCCCACCGAGGGGCTCGGAGCCTACTCTTAGTTAGGGGTGACTAGGTGACTAGTCTGGCCTCTGGCCCAGTGCGGGTTGGTCTTTATCTTATACTATATAAAATTCTCGCGTCACAATTTTCGTTCCCATACTCCTCCGAAACGGTTTGACCGATTCTCATCAAATTTTGGGAGCATATTGAGTAGGTCTGAGAATCGGCCAACATCTATTTTTAATACCGCGCGGACGGAGTCGCGAGCGACAGCTAGTATCGTATAATAAAATATTTCTATGATGTTAAATATTATTCGTGTCAATCCAAAAAACTAAGGGGGACAAAACTAGCACTTTACCTATAAGTATCAGTTGCCCTCGACTTCCTCTGCCCGTATTTAAAAAAAATGTAATAATAACTGTAGCCTGTTAGTCACCCGGGGATGATGTAGCTACCCAAGAGTGAAAGCATTTTTCCAATTGGTTCAGCAGTTTCGGAGCCTATTCAATGCAAACAAACTAACCTCTTTATTATCTTACTAATGAATGGATGGATGTTTGTTAAAAGGTATCTCCGGAACTGCATGGATTTTGATGAAATTTGGCACAATTGTAGAATAAAGTCTGGAAGAACACATAGGTCAATTTCTTTTCAATTCCGCGTGGACGTAGTCGAGGCGACAGTTACAGCAGTAGAGGTGAATAAAATTAAATTAAATAAGTACCTTCATAAACTCCACACTGGATTCTAGAGGGTTATCAAACCTGAATAGTAGCAGAAAGTTTTCCTCCATAGGCAGTAGTTGAGCGAGCTGCGAACAGTACGGTGTAAATTATTACATCTTACTAATATAATAAATGCGAATGTTTAGATGGATGGATGTTTGTTTGAAGATATCTCCAGAACGGTTGAATGTATCTCGATGAAATTTGGCATACATATAGTGCATTGTCTGGAAGAACACATAGGCTATTTATTATGTTTGTTTATAATTCCGCGCGGATGGAGTCCCCAACGACAGCAAGTTAATACATAATTTGTGAATCCTAATTTGTGACATTGTTCTGATGAAACGGGAGAATTATCTTTCTATCGCATGTAATACTACTGCAAAGGCTAATCGAAATTAACCAAAAATTTGGTAAGAATTGGGTACATTCCAGGAAACAATTTCGTAACAAGACTTCGAAAACAGGACAATTTGTTTGGTTAATTTTCGTTTTATTTACACGTGTTTTGCTTTACTATAATTAAATGTTTTTCCGATGTAATCAAGTGAAATATATATAAAATAAAGTATAAAACATATCGTCATCCCTGTTATTATCTTTGATATAACAGAGATAACAATAGGTTTTTCAACGAAGATTTTGATATCAGAAAACTACGGTTTTCTGTGTTTTTAATAGAATATTATTTGTACCTCTCGTATATCAATTTTGCCATCTTGATTGTCATCGTACGCTTCCATGAAACACGCTTTCAGTTCCACCAACATCGAATCTGATACAGCCTGAAAATCAATTGAAATCTATGAATACCAATAAAGCCAATTTATATTATTTGCAATACTGAGAAGGATTGTTATTTGTTTTAAACGTCAAAGGTAAAAATACAAGCTATCGAATACAAAATGAATAATCAAAATCAGTTCACCCCAGGTGAAATTTTGAGGTTATAAACATATAAATGCAGCTTAATATAGAACCACCTCCTTTTTATTTAAAAAGTATATTTGTATTTTCATTTGTTTTTAATATGAACGTTATCTATAAAAAGAGTAACTGCTTTTTGCCTTTTCACGAAGATGAGTAAAAAAAGAAAAAATACTTATAAACGTTATTACAAGATTCAAAATGGAAAGTTTTAATCAAACATTAATATGTAAACGAAGAGAACATCCAACTTTAGTGTTCTGAATTCTCAGTGTGAAGTAAGAAACTTTAGAAGCTAGTTTAGATCTGAACAACGAGGATGTCAGAGAACTTTATATGCACTTTTGTTTAGTGAAAAGTTTGTTAGTACTAGCTTGAAATGTTTTAAAATTTTAATTTTTTAATGCAAAAGTTTAGAAGGTATAGAAGGAATGAAGGTAGAAGGAAGTTGTACAGATGTTTGTTACAAGGTATCTCTAAAGGCTCTTTGAGCCGTCAAAGAGCCTCGGTAAAATTAGGGTTGTAGAACATACTCTAGAAGAACACATAGGCTACTAATTATGTTTTTTTTAATTCCGCGCGGATGGTGTCGCGGGCAAAACGGATCTTACTAATATTATAAATGCGAATATTTAGATGGATGAATAGATAATTGTTAGAAGGTATTTCTAAAACGACTCAAAGAATCTCGGTAATATTAGGCATAATGATAGAAAATAATCTAGAAGAATACATAGGCTATTAAGATTTTTTTAAATCCGCGCAGACGGTGTCGCGGGTAAAAGCTAGTAACTTTATAAAGCTCAACGTTGCTTTCCAAGGCATAAATAAGTTTTAACAATGTCATGTGGCAGTCCGCCAAGCATCGATCAGTTGCAATCGCAATTTGACTTGATTGAACGAGGCCTATTGTTACAGCTATTATGTATCGCTGCATTGTTCCTACCTTCGATTGCTTTTAGTGCTCAATCAATATACATCAAATATATTCCACGTTAATCTTATATGTAAAATTCTCGTGTCACAATTTTCGTTCCCATACTCCTCCGAAACGGCTTGACCGATTCTCATGAAATTTTGTGAGCATATTGAGTAAGCCTGAGAATCGGCCAACATCTATTTTTAATCCCGCGCGGACGGAGTCGCGGGCGACAGCGGGTTGTTTATAAAATAAACTAGTTGTTTGTCGTTAAAGTTAACTACAGTTAAGTATTTATTTAATCAAAAAAATAGAAAGTTTTTTTGTAAAATATTTAGTCGATTATTGTCCACTAAAGGTACGCGTCCATTGGGCCACGCCGGACGCATCGCGTGCACGGATTAAACGGATTCGCTTTGCCATTCGATGCAGTGCGGATGATGTATGCAGCGTTATGTAAAATCATACAAAGCAAACTAAAATTCGTTGCGGGCCGTGCGTGTGATGCGTCCGGCGCGGGTGCAAGTAACCGCGTCAAATCTGACAGCGCGTTTGTCAATTTCTTTGCAAATCGTTAATAGTCCAGCATGTTTTAGGTTGAAGTATTTGGCTTCTATTATCTTTTTAATGGAATAAACGGATAAAGGCAAATGCTTTGGCAGAAATAATACGAGATTTTTCGTTAAAGTGATGCGTGTTAATAATCGAAAGTCACATCGGTATATGTTGCGTAAAATTGGATGGTCGCCGGTCGCCGGTCGCCGGTCGAGCAGACTTTTGCGATAAATTTACCCAGAGTTAAGTTTTAGACCGAATTAATCTCGATATTATTTTTGTAGCGACTGAAGTAGAAAATAGAAAAATTAATATTTACTTTTGTCATATGAAATTATAGACCTTTAATAAAAAAAACAGAGATGGATGTTCTTTAGAAGGTGTCCGGAACAGATAAATGGATCTTGATGAAATATTGCACAGATGTAGAATATAGGTTGAAAGAATACATAGGCAGACCGAGTCGCGGGACACAGTTAGTTTAATTATAAACGTTAAAGTCATAATATTAATTGGTTAATTGTTTATTTTCAATCTAAAAAAGAATTTCATTAAATAGTTACTGGAATCATAAAACAAAGCCAATTTTATTATATAGACATCTTGAAGAGCGTTGTTTACGCACGAATGAACCGTCAGATTTTATTCGTAAGTTGTTTCCACAGCAGATACAAAACATATAGTCATCCTTTTCATTTACATTAAAAAAATAGATATAACAATATAATTCTGTACACTTGTTTTGCTATGAGAACTCAAGGTAACACACTTAATGTTATTTATTGTGTTTTCTACACTCGTATACTGCGCACGTATCGCTTGAAAGGTCCTTGTAATATGTTACTGATAGGTTGTAAACTTAGTCAGATTTTAATTTGACTAGCCATATTGGCTGGAAACAAATAATAGTAGTAGTAAGTTTTTGTCTATTTGCTGCATTCAGTCGTGTAATGGTAACCTTCCTTCCCGCACTTTTGTTAGGGAAGGGGAAGTGGATTTGACAGTGGAGTGGACACATAGGAAGGAAAATATCGTACTTCTGTGCGTCCCTTCTTCGGTCGATTGAAAGTACGTAACGCATCTGCAATCACCGAAGTGTATAAGTAGCGGTCACTTTGCTATTTATGCGAATTCAGGTGGTCGCTTATTCAATTGCTAAATTATAATACAAAAAATCTTATTTCTAGAAACTTACTTCTTTGTTTAAAAATTTAAACCATTACGAGAAGTTTTACTAAATAGTCATTTTGTATGTTTTTTTAGGTTCATGAATAAAATACATAATATTCTGTTTGCAAAACCCTTAGTGATTATTTAACGTGGGCGTGTTTATTCTGTTTGTGAATTTGTGTATGAATCACTCGTTCCTCGCCGGCTCCATACATTAGGTAATTGTTTGCGAAGTTACAAATGAATTCAAAATATTCTCTCATCAAACGGACGGTCTGAAGGATACTTATTATTCAACAATAACAAGTTACATTAACAATAAAGCCTTAGATGCGTAATAGATATACGTTTGTTACTCAAAATCCTTATCATTAATAATAATGCGAAAAGTCTGTCTGTTTGTCCTTCTTTCACGCAAAAACTACTGAACCGATTCAAATGAAATTTGGTACACAGATAGACTAGATCCTGGGGAAGGATATAGGCTTACTTTTTAATCCGAAAAAGGGGTTGTAAAGAGTTGAAAGTGAGGGTGGAAATTAGTATGGGAATATCGTCATTTTTTTTCAGTTAGACGCTTGAAACTTATTTTTTAGGCTTTTAATTCGATATAAATTAATATGATAATGTTCTTTATACTATATTTACACAATGGAATTTGTAAACGTATGTTTTCATGTAATTTGTCATGCCACCGCCATGTGTTAGCACCGCCCAGAGTCGTTTGGCTTCCCGCCAATAAACATAACAACTCTTAGTAATGGAGATATACTTTGTCAACACATAAATTTTCATATTAAAATCACCATAGGAGAACCTTTGTCTGCGTTCAACTAAAATATACTAAACTAGATCTCGCCAACGACTCCTTCCTTGCGGAAAAAAAAGTGGCTTGTATGTTCTTCCAGACTATTTTCTACATCTGTGCCAAATTTCAGCGAGATCTATGCAGCCGTCCTGATGATAATTTCAAACAAACATCTATCCATACATCCAAACATTCGCATTTATAATATAACTAGCTGTCGCCTGCAACTCTGTCCGCATGTAATTAAATAAGAGACTATGTTCTATACGCTAAATTTTAGCAAGATCCATAGCCTTTCTAAAGATACTTTCTTACAAACATCTATCCATCAGTTCACATATCCAAACATTCGCATTTATAATATTAGTAAGATTAAAACAAAGATTTTTACAAATAAATAAATAAAAATAACATTACGAAAGCAAAACCTCGTATAAATAATGAAGTCATGGATTCTACTTAATTGCAAGAGAGTCGTGCAAAAGTTTGCCAAGATCAAATCTAAAATGGCCGCCTGTAACTATGTTATTTAGTTTCATAGTGCTACAACTAAAACTTGTTTCAAATATAAGAGCTTGTTTGTTCAATTTTCATTACGTATTCTATTTAAAACTAGCTGTCGCCCGCGACTCCGTCCGTGTGTATATAAAACACTTAATTAGTGTAGCCCATTCATCCACATCACATCCATCTCAACAAAAAGCTCTTTAAGGCATAAATTAAAAAAAGGAAGAATAAATAGTATCCTATGTCCGTCTCCTGCCTGTAAGCTACCTCCTCACCAATTTTCAGTCATATCGGTAAAGTCGTTCTCGAGTTATAAATAGTGTAACTAACACGTCATTCTTTTATATATATATAGATAAAGTTTTTAAAATCATAAATATCCATAGATTTAAAAATACTTAAAGCGGAGCAAAAATAAGGCGTAAAATGCCTCTGGAGGCTTTTTGTTGGGGTAAATTGCCTCATTGTGGGTTAAATCGACTCTAGATTAGAGGTCAAAATGGTATGAAACGTTCCATCTAACCTACTACTATTATAAATGCGAATATTTAGATGGATGGCTTAACGGATCTTGGTGACATTTGGCACAGATATAGAACATAGCCTGGAAGAACACATAGGCTACTCATTAAGTGTAATTTTTAATTCCGTGCGAACAACGTTGCGGGCGATAGCTAGTACGCTATCTATTTACATATGCTGAGATAATGTTATGTTTTATTTCTGCTATCAGTTTTGTTTAAGGCAGATTATAGCTTTATGAGAATCGTACTAGGTTAGCATGGTTGACTAAGATCTAGTCCTTAGTTCCCCCGAGCCCGTGAGTTGCAAAATAATCTACGTTAATTATAGTCTGTTTATATAATTGCGAAATTAACAATCGGTCGCTGACATAGTTATGGAAGTAGCGTTTCCTTGAATAGATATTTGTTTTATTGTTTCGCGTGTTAGTCATTGATATATAATCTTCTTATCATTGTTATCTGTATGTTTCTTATATATGAAAGTATGAAGATGACACATGTACCAGATTATTCACTGAGCGACTGTTAACTTGTGACTAACATAAGGAGAAATAGTAAGTACTTTCATATTGTATTTTTTTAATATTTAACATATACTACCAACTGCCAACTACATGTTTCAATTTGATTCAAATATTCAAATTACTTTTTAACGTAAATTAATTTGTTAGTCCTGTGTACATATAAAAGTGTCATTTAAGAACATTTTCACGAAGACTGGATAAAACATATCGTCATCCCTGTCATTATAAATCAGAGATAACAATATATTTTAAACAAAAAACTCAATTAAAAGTATACTTTAAAATTAGTGACAGCGTGAAGAAAATTATACTTTATACTAAAAATGAATTTTAAGGGAAACGATGACAGTAATGACGTCATATCTTCTTTCTCTCTCGTGTAACGAAACATCGCATGTCCTTGAATAGGAGTTTTAGGTTAATTTATTTCTATAGATGAAGATTGTACTGGTCTGTGCCGTGCTTGCTGTCCTAGCTACAGTTTCAACGTCATCTATCGTCAAATCTCCAACATCCCGAGCAAGCCTATACTACGGATATGTCGGCCCTGGTGACAGATTGCTAAACAGGTATTGTAAGATACCCCATTTTTGTTTACGTTAGCCTGCTGGGACCTTTAATTTTGGGTTATTTAGTCTAAATGCAGCGTCGGTAGCTTAAGGGTTAAGCATTTGACTTGTCATCTGTAGGTCTTAGGTTCGTATCCTGCCATTTACCAATGTACATTTACTTTGCCTCACCCTTAACTTAGGGTAGGCTCCGAGTCAATCAGTAGGGACATATTGCGAGCTGATTATCTCATTGCTACTAAAACATGACTGATTGACCCGAACAACCTCAAAGACTTACATGTTTTTTTTTTGTTTTTAGGACGTACGTTCAGAAAGCAGCGATCCCTAATACAATCCAGAGTCAGGACGTAGCTTACCGTGGTAATATTACTACTAGGATCACTGCAATCCAAGTGGTGGAGATTGGATACACTCAGTGGGCGACTCCTTGGTTAATTGCGGGGGGAATTGGTGGGAACAATGTGACTATAAGGGTACAATCCGCAAGAGGCTATGGGTACTATTACGTAATTGATATTTGGGGACGATAGATTTATTAAAATGTACTTTTAATACGATCAAGTATTTGTTAATTACAGAATGGCTACGATTCTTTGTGTTTTTATTACCTTTTATACCAGGAATACATATTGATGTGTGACTATTATGAAATAAAAAAGTGAACCAAACGAATCTTACTAACTAAATGCGAATGTTTAGACGGGATGGGTGGATGTTTGTTAGAAGGTATCTTCAAAACGGCTCAACGGATGTCGATGAAATTTGATATACATGTAGATCATAGCCTGGAAGAACACATAGACTACCAATTAAGTTTTGTTTAAATTCCACGCGGACGGAAACACTGGCGACAGCTAGTTATTACTAAAGTTATAAGGTGAAAAAGATTTCTTTGCGTTGAATATACGCAATTAGTTTTTACCCATTTTCTTCTCATTATTAGAAATAAAAGAAGTATTTAATGTAATATCGTTTTATTAACTTATCAATAAAATTAATCTTACAGATACGAAAATTTTACAACTTTATCTCCCCCAGAATTCAACTCTATAGTTGAAACCACCGCCTCTAATAGTTTCTAATCTGACAGTCGCATTTCTCCATCCAATGCCACCAGAGATCAGGCGTGGTCTAGCGCGCTGGGACATGCCTATCTCAACCGCTCGGATTGCTGATATCCTGGTAGTTACATTCCCGTAGTATGCTACGTCTTGTGATTGAATAGTGTTCGCTATCGCCCTCTTTTGGACTGTAGAACTAAAAAGTACATCATTAATTAATAATAAAAAACGAAGATATTTTTAATTTAATTATAAAATTTGTTATTAGCCAATTGAGAAAATCATAGAAACATTTTTTTTATGTGACATCAAATATTGTCAATTATTCCTTTCATTGTTTCACCATTTTTTTATAGATTAGTCAGTTTATAAATAGACGATATTCACAATTGTTCGATAACATATATAACATTACGTAACAGTAACACTATACCTTGCTAATAAACGATCACCTGCACCTATATAACCAAGATATAAATTGGCTCTTGAAGAAGAGTAGTCAAGAGACGCGCTATTCGTGAATCCTGATGCGACAACAGCAAGCACGGTCAATAATAGTACTAATTTCATCTGAATAAACGAACAATAATATTAAAATTCAAATATTAACAAGTATTTAATATTAAAAAGTAATATTAACAAAAAAAAATAGCAACTTTAAGTAAAACACGAGTTTGAATTCCCGAAAACAATCGATGTATCTTACGAGTACTAATATTATAAATGCAAATGTTTAGATGGACGGATGTTTGTTCGAATGTATATTAAAACAGCTGCATGGATCTCGTTGAAATTTGGCATAGATGTAGACATAGGCTACTTATTAAGATTTATCTAGTAAGTTATATTTCCATGTTTTAAAATACGTACGAATATTGATGCTGTTGAAATCATTTAAAACGCAAATCATAGCAAAAAAAGCACAGAATTACAGTAAATTTCATAGAAATAAATAAGTAAATACTTACTTTGAATTTTTATATTTATCACCAAATAGCAATTATATTTCAAAACAAAATGATATTCCATCAACGAAACAGTTAAGTTTTATACTGATCACATTATGATAGTAGTGATAATCGTTATCAATGATTCACCAATTTAAAAATAATTAAACAAGTTACTTGGAAGCCCCAAGATAATAACAATCAACTGTATGATAATAAACAAATTATATTATTATACATTTTTTTTATATATCATATGGTAGCAAACGAGCGAGCGACCACCTGAAATCACTGAAATAGCGATGGTACCGTTGCCCATAGACATACGCAATTGCATATGCGTTGTCTACCTGTAATCGACGGAGGAGAGGATGCATAGAAAGAAAATATTTTCCCTTCCCATGCATTCTCTCTGGTAAGTCCACTTCCACTTCCCATCCTTTCCTTATAAGAATAAAGATGGGAAGGTAAAGAGGACTAAAATTAGGCCTCCGGAACGCATCAGACGAATCGCGGAATTGCTTTCACTTGACTCCTGTCTTCTGTGTGGTCGTGGTATTTCACCGGGCGAGCCGGACCAATTTTTGCGAAGATGTTAAAGCGGGCTCTACCACAGTTAACATTTTAATAGGGTAATTTTAATCCCTTTCTATCTTCTATAAATGGACAGGCTACAAACCGTGGTATTTTGTGCCTATTTGATTTTCACCATTTCGGTGCTGACTATTGCGCTTTGTAGCGTTGGTGATACAAACGAATAACAGAGAGAATTAACTGTCAGGAACTTCGAAACGAGCGAAGAATGCTTTCTTTCTTTTAGTAGTCGATTAATTAATTATTGTACTCAATATTCCTGTAGTTTTCCCTAATGAGTGTCGGCTTAGTATCTACTACTTCCATACATCTCTATCAGCCGTCATATATGAATTCATTCCCTTACGCGTAGGGGGTGAGAGAGACAGACTCAATCCATACTTCGGTTCTATACCTTTGTACTCCATATACTAAGGAATTCTGAATTTGTCCATGTTTCGTCTAAAACAAGTAGAATGTCGATCTAATATCTTTGTCATTAGGGTGTGCCCGCAATAAAATTAATGGATTTGTCACTTATGCTTTTAATATTTTATTCACCAAAATATCAGTATTACGAAAATTGTCATAATGTTTACTTGTGTGTTAGTTTATTGTACTTTATTATTAATTGTAAATCAAGCAAATTCAAATGAAACAGATTTAATTAACGGTATAGTGGAAGAAAGTGTTGATGGTAATACAGAGGCCGATATAAGAAATGAGGTTATGTTATTACCCGCCTTCCATGTTCTTCTTTGTCCAAGTAGAATGATTAAAGTCAACGGCAAATGTGTACCAATTTACGATTGACAAGCAAATAATTAATCTACAAATATAATAAAGTGAAAAGTGTGCAAGAGTTAAATATTGTTAATATGGTTACGAAGTGTCAAAAGTTTTGATAATGGATGAATTTGGACAAAGAAAAATATGTGTCTGTAAAGGTCTTTACCGCAGACGCATTTGAAAAAAATATATACTTTTGTCTCTGTTTTGTCAAAGAAAATGAGAGAGAGCGAAGATATTATCCGCACAAATGTAAATCTGTGGAAATGCACGATAATTTTATCATATCTCGCACAGATGTAAATCAGTGGAATTTGGAAACCGGATGATACGTCATTACTGTGAAAGAGATAGGAAATATCAAAATAATAATTGTTATCTTTAATCTATATTTAGTATACAGGACGACAATATATTTATTATTTAAAAATTGTGTAATTAAAAAAAAATCACAATATTTTTTTTGTTTCTTTTTTAAACTGTAAGGAGAAAAAACGTAAAGCCGGTTAAGTATGAAGTGGATATGAAAATAATTTCCTGTAACAGCTTACGCGGCGTCCTGTGTAAATATCGTTTTGGGCTTGTAATTAATGTTAATAAATAAAAATATCAGTACTCACATCAGGACTGACATCAATGAAGTTGGCACTGGACACAAACTCCTTCAAGAAGCCATCCAGTTCGGTTCCCTCGATGTAGCCGTTACCTGCAACATAATGATATTTAAAAATTCTTCACATACAAGGAGAAAGTTAACAGTATCGTAATACTATGCTTATGGAATGAAAGCTCTTATTGACATCTCTTTTTTACATAAGTACAAATGTTATCAACTTGTTGAATGTTTAGAGCAAATGTTGACCTAGAAAATAATTGCTATATTTTTTTATAAGTTATTAAGAAATATTAATATTTAAAGTAAAAATTGGCATAGAAAATATAAGTTTTATCTAATTATTACACTGAAATATCTGGAATAAGTCCCAACTGATTTCCGTTATCCCTATTCCTTCAGACTTGCTTTATAACATTGAGAACGAACTGGTTTCTGGAATCCTATTAACTAAATAATTAACGTCGGCTCAAGGCGGCTTTTGTAAGGGATTTTCTGTCGTAAAACGTCACTGGCCAGCCGGGATTATTTCGATTAATTCAAATCTCTTTATCATTTAACACGCCTTAGACGATATAAGTTCATTTATTATTAATTTTGAATAAAGGTATCGATTTGATTTATTAACATACATTTTTAAAATATAGGTATTAATTGTTATTATTTAAAACACGTGTAAGTTAATAATTGCATTATTAAGGTATTAAAATGAGTGTTACGCAAATGCTTTTCCGTTCTGCTTCGACGCTTAATTAAGGTTAATTGAGCTTGAGACTGAATTAATTACCGTTCCGGCAACTATCAATTGAGATTAAGCGATAGTTAACTAAATACTGAATTTAACTAACTACCGTTAATTGGCTTTGGTTAAAGACAAAAGCTTAATCATAGACTATTCTGAAGCAAAAGTCTAAAATTGCATTAAGCATCTAAAACTCGAGAAATAATTCTGTATAACTATAGTATTGCTTTTATCTAGTTTCTCGTAAATATCGTCAGAGTATTTTTGCAAGAAAAGTCACTCGACATTTTCTCCTTCAAACAAGTTTTACATAAATTTACCTAATCTCTTGTATTTTTATTAACGCCTATAATCTATATCTTATGTTGTGCGAGACTTGTAAATTGCTATTAAATAAATAAAGGAACAAAGAGGCTATGTATTGCCTCATTTGAATAGAAATGGGGACATATATCGCGGCAAATGTTGCCAGTATGGGCCGTAGCTAAATAAATAAACTTTAACGAAAAAAGCTTTCACATTTTTGTCGGACTATTTTTACTTCATATTGTTTGTCAACGTGGATATTTTCTTTATTATTCTAGCCTTGCAATAAGCAATGATATACAACAGCGTACTGCGATTTTTTACTGCCATAACAACTGACAAATATATTGTCATCTCGCTCATACATATTGAAAAAAGAGATAAATAATTTAACAATTCTGGAATAACGTAAGTACATTATTTACAAGTATTTTATTTTATGTTACGTGAAAATATAACAGAGTTGTAGTCTCCAATGATGATCCTTTTGTCAAATTCAAGAGGTGAAACGGTCACAAGTGGTCATTCAAACTGTCGTCCGGATTTAATAATATTTCATACTAGCTGTCGCCCGCGACTCCGTCCGCGTGGGTATATGAAAAAACTTAATTAGTGTAGCCCACCTATCCATCCATCCACATCACATCCATCTAAACATTCGCATTTATAATATAAGTAAGTTAAATAAAAAGCAGCTCTTCAATGCATAAATTAGAAAAAGAAATGAATAAATAGTATCCCATGACCGTCTCCTGGCTCTAAGCTCACCTCACCAATTTTCAGGCATATCGACTATCGTAACGAACACGACTTTCTTTTATATATATATAGATTTCAGGTACTTATAAATACCTATTTGAAAATAAAAATAGATGTACCAAATAAAAATCATTAAACTAAGGAAAAATTTATATATTTAAAGAAAAAAAAACATCGATTTTTATAACAACTGTGGTACTATTAAAGTGGGTCTCCACAGCTGGAAGATTAATACGAAAACATATTTTGTCACCGAGACACAGAAATAAAAACGTTTTACGTTACTAGCTGTCGCCCGCGAGTCTGCTCGGTATTAAAAAAAACATAATAAGTATCCTATGTGTTCTCCCAGACTACGTTTTATATGTATGCCAATTTCATCGTGATACCTTCAAAAAAAACAGACATCCATCCAAACATAGACATTTATAATATTAGATTACGGTAGGGGAAACACATTAGATGTCTTTAATAAAACTAAATATCTGTTGCATTCATATTTAATTTTAATTGTTATTAGAAGCTAGTATTATTGTGGCAGGCAGGTTAGTATGATTTGGAATAACAGCATTTAGCATCCGTAGGGAATGCTCAGTCGGACAACTAAACTAACTAATAAATACCTTTGGTCGTAAGTTACGTAAGGCTCTTCGTACCCAAGGCAATGTAAAACTTTGTTAATAACATAAAATCTTTACGTCGCGAGTATCAAGTCGCCTATTTAGTTAGTGCAGGCATATCGCCTACATGTCAACTGTGTAGCTCCGCCATTTTGAAAATTGCAGCGACTTCTATTTTCAAAATGGCGGACTTTTAACTCACATTTATGATTTGTGTTGTGTGAATCGCTTCGCTACTAAAATCGCTGCGATTCGACGATTTACTTTACCTTGTATACGAAGTGCCTTAGACCCTTCTATATTTAATTTTCAAGAGATTACTGTATGTTTTGATCGACTAAGAGAAGACTATTTTAAAATAAGGTTAATATTCTGTACAGATACGTATGTATATCTTTTATATGGGTTTGTATGTATGACAGTTCAATTGTCTCTGCCTAAAGCCTAAAAAATTTTACCGATTTCGACGCGAATGTTTTGATTCGTATTGTTTTAAAAGTCAATCAGTTATTTAGGTTTTAAAGATTATTTATTTTTTTAAAGATTTTAATGGTAATGACATAATAGTTATAAGCTACTAATAATTTAACAAATGTAAAAATTAATGTTGAAAACACGCCAAAAAACTGGGTAATGAATATCGTTCCGTGTTATTCAAAACAAAACGTAGTTGTTAGTATTTTATACACTGTTTTTTTATTCAATGATTTAAATCTATTCTCATAATACAATAGAAACATTGCCGGAATATTGTTTTATTTCGTTGTTTTCTGCGGCAGAGGTATTTTATTATTTGTTTTATTTCATATTAATCTTTATTACAGTCGCTGTCTCGTCGAGCGGAAAGTACACGATAAGTATTAGAGTTAGGTGAATAAAAGTTTTATATATTTCATTTACTTTGTATATAAATATTTAGTTGGATAAAGATTGTTTTCTCATTGAATTGTACAAATGGACTGGTTATAAGACGTAGTATTTTGTGCCACATTTTTCTCGCACATGTATGTTTATCTGTATGTGAGTTTACATTTGAACTGTTGTTACAATTTAAGAAGGGCTTTGACCTTATAAATCCCAATATAAACTTATATAAAAAAGGCTAAACACTCACGTATATTCGTCCGGTGGCGGCACCGACAAGTTTCAAGTGAGTGGGACTGGTTTCGTGGACGCCCGTTGCCGCGATACGTGAGTGTTTAGCCGTTTTTATATAAGTTTGTTATAATGTCTCACGAAATTTTGAATAATTTAAATCCCAACTTATTAAAGATTTCTTATTGTTTTTACATTTCGATCAATGTAAAGGAAAATTTACAAAATACCGCGAACAATCTTTTAGTGGTGAGAGAATGCCTTCATCTATGCGTCAATGCCAATGTAAGGAAATGTTGTAAAGGGAAAGTAGATTTAGACAGAGGAAGATTAAATAGCCTCTATTAAAGGTAGACAATGCATCTACAATTTCAGGTGTCGTGTTTATGTGAGTCGCCATTATTCAGTTATGGTCAGCGGTACCTTCGCTATTTTGGTGACTCCAGAACAGCTTGTTCGTTTGACAACATAAATATAAAAAAGCAATACGTGTAAAATACAGCGTAGAAAACAGCCTTGATGTACTGTTTTCTGTCTCTAGAGAGAGATTCTGTAATTAGAGAATTACATTTGCAAGACATTTTCGCATACCTAGCTGACATCTCGACGTATTCAAGTGACGCTGAAAGCATTCATGCTTCGTGTTATTACATTAAAAGCTGTCATCTGAACTTAAGATTTATTTCGTCTACATGTTATTTTGAATGTATAAACTTTAAAGTATAAATAAATCTTATTTCTTTGTAATATTATTATATAAATGCGAAAATGTTGCTTAGATGGATGGATTGATTGATGGATGTTTGTTTTAGAGTGTCACCAAAAAGGCTGAATGAATTTTGATGAAATTTGGCACCCACGAAAAATATATTCTGGTAGAACGCATTGGCTGCTAATAAAGTTTTTTTTTTAAATTCCGCTCGGACGGAGTCGCGGCCGACAGGAAGTTTATCTATATCTTTATACAAAGGCAATAATTTTTCTTTTAATTTAGTTACCCAATAATTTAAGTTCGAATTGGTTCTAAATTCTAATTACAAAATAATTTTCACGCATCTATAACGAACGAATAACGAATAAAAAATAGTGTATTATATTTGGTTTTTGGTTTGGTCTTTAAATCTATTGTAAAATACCTAAACATAAATAAGTATTTGTCGCTGAACTTTTGAACAACGAGATAACTAAATTAGAGTCACTGTCGGCATTTTAAATGTAACTAATTTCACGAGACACGTAACATGTACCGTCTAGAAGTCTGATTAAATTACTTGGAATATGTTTAAAATTTTATGAACAGTATTTTGAACAATGTAACCTTAAAAATCTAACTCATCAACCTGCCCTTATCCCTATTGAGGGTCGTCATAGTATGTACTACTACTGCATACATCTCTATCAGCCGTCATATCGGAATCTACCCCCTACCTACGCATATCCTTTTTCATACAGTAATTTCATACTTTTTTTGGTCTTCGTCTACCTTTGTAGTCATCCACATTCAACCTCATTACTTTTTTGCTTATATCATCATCATCCCTCCGCATAACATATCCAAACAATAAATCTTTTACACCTCAATTTCTCAATAACTAGCGCTACTTTCAAACTTCCTCTAATATACACTAACATAACATAATAAGAAAGAGAAAAACTAAAACTCTATTTGAGGTTAGGAAAATATCAGGCGCTGGTTAATTAAATTAAAAAATAATTAAAAATACTTGAACTATGTTACTATAATAATATTACAATTTTAACTATATTTTAATTTTAAATATTAGTAAATCGGCTTTCAGTTTGAAGCTTAATTAAATTCGCGTTACACAAAAGCTCCTTGCGGTTTTCAGTCCTAAAAGCTTTTCAGTACCTCTCTACAAATTAGATGAGTATTTTAATATCTTTATGTTCTGTGAAATATAAGTGACAGGTAAAAGGGTAAATTGGGGAAATCAGTGCTTGTAATTTAGAGTAATGTCTTATTTTCAGGGTTCCGTACCTCATAGGAAAAAAAACGGAACCCTTATAGGATCACTGTCAAGATCCTTTTCCTCAAAAACGCGTGAAGGTATCAAGCTGGAATTTATTTATTTTATTATGTCTCGAAATCGAAAAGTACTTTTTAGAATGTCTTTTGTTTTAGAATTTCTTTTAATTTTCAAATTTTATATCCAATATTTCTCACTCTTTTTATAAACAGTATTTGCACCAACAATCGTATAATATATTCTAATTTCATGAAACTTCTTTAGCGAATTTCAGTTTATCAAATTAGCTTAACAAAAAAAATATTCGTTAAAAACTTACCATCTCTGTCGTAATGACTCCAAACCTCCATGAACTGATTAGCTGATAGTTTCTTCAATTCTCTTGAATCAGGGTCTCTGAATTGACGCATAAAGTTATTAGCTCTATCGAAGTTAACCTTCTTTGATGATGTCGAATCAAAACTCATTTTTACAAGAAATATAATCTTTCGTAAACCTTTAAAAATTACACTTTAATTGTCAATGTATGAAAATATGATTTATCAATATATTAATTGTTTATTTTCTTTGTAAAATATATCTACATTCAGATATTTTTTGGCTTTAATTATTGTCGATTTGTTATTAAAAAGTTTTCACTTATTTTTCTAACACGCCTTCCATACGGATAATCTGTAACAAAAAAATGTTCAATAAATTAAAAACAAAAAATTATTTTGTATCTGTAATAGCTTAAAATAATTTGATGAACAATTGTAACTTCTTGATAAAGCTTCGCATTTTAATTTATAATTGCCGACATTTTTTTATAACCTCAAAATTTTGTAATTCTAAATATTCGTTTGTATCAATTATTATGAAGAGCGTCGGTGGCTCAGGGGTCAAGCACTCGACTTGCAATCTGCAGGTCCTGGGTTCGAATCCCACCATGTACCAATGTGTTTTTCGATTTCCGATTTACATATGTACATTTATCCGACGTTCTTACGGTGAAGGAAAACATCGTGATGCAACCTGCACATATCTGAGAAGAAATTCAAAGATATGTGTGAAGTCAACCAACCCGCACTTGGCCAGCGTGGTTGACTATGGCCTAATCACCCTTAACTTAGGGTAGGCTCCGAGCCCCTCGGTGGGGACGTATAGTGAGCTGATGATGATGATGATGATGATCAATTATTTATTTCTCGAAAAAGTTAATGCCAAAAAAGCAGCCAGCCAGAAAATGAAATTTTATCATCAATAATCTGTTTTCTTTCTTCTTTTACTCTACAAATCTAGATAACGAAAAAAACACGTTCGACCTTGAAAGTGATATTGGAAACTTTACCTATAAGTTTTCGCTTTACGACTGTCTCGCAATATATGTCCATACAACTTTTATCTTTCCTTGCCAAATCTCTAAAGTTTTTATGTAACAATTTTATTTTATTTTCTCATTCCTAAGTTAAAGAGGCATCCTTATCCGACATTTCTTACAGTGAAGGAAATCGTGACATATGCATTCCCGGGGCAAAAAGGTAGCGACGCGTCACCCGTCACGTTCCGTTTTCCGAAATGGTAAACAGTAAACTTCGGACGTTCGTTTGGTCATGCCAAATGTTGGTCCGCGCTCTCTGTCTACCCCTCTGGGTTACAAGCGTAAGTTATATTTGTTTGTCCTAACTTAAGTAAGGTTAACAATAAATGGGAATTACATATTTTTTTTTAAATTAAGTGGTCAGCGAATTTGAAATCTATTCTCATTTTTATTAAATGCAGGTTTCAGTTCAAAGACGTATAAAGGAAATTGCTTTATGCTAATTTTACTGACGACATTTTCTTGTATTTCGTACCGATTCGTATTCATAGCACGTGCGAAATTGTACCTTGCGAAATAGATTGGAGAAAATTACTTGATGGAAATGTAAGCAAATAATGGAACGACTATTTACGCGTTTGACTCAATATGTCAATGACCAAGTAGTTCTCATGTGCCGATTGTTAGTATTAACCGTGAGCTTCCAAGACCAAAATATGAGTATAAATCATATTGTAATCTCTGTGAAGGATAAAGAGAGATTTGGTTCTCAGAAATCCACGACAAATCTTGCTTATTAAAAAAACTACGTAACAGTTAACAGTTACTGATTGAATTATAATGTACGTAACATGAATGTACGTGCAAATCACGGGACAATGGAATAATATGATGGCATGGTGCTGATCTGATAATTGAACCGAAAAGTGGCGATAGAAACTTCGCAATTAAATGACACAACCTCATCGAGCTTGACCTAGTTTGAATCGTGACGATCGTTTATATTTTTTTTTATATCATAAGGTGGCAAACGAGCGAGCGGCCACCTGAAACCGCCGAAATAGCGAAGTGACCGTTGCCCATAGACATATGCAATTGCATATGCGTTGCCTAACTTTAATCGACGGAGGAGAGGATGCACAGAATATTTTTCCTTTCCATGCATCCTCTCATCCGGAAAGTCCACTTCCACTTCCCATCCTTTCCTTATAAGAAAAAGGGTGGGAAGGGAAATTGGACTAAATAAGGCCTTCGGGACGCACACTCATCAGACGAAACGCGGAATTGCTTCCACTTGACGCGTGTCTTCTGTGTGGTCGTGATATTTCACCGGGCGAGCCGGGCCAATTCGTGCGAAGGTGTTAAAGCGGGCTCTATCACTGTTAAAGATCGTATTTTAAATTACTATGTTCTACATCCTTATCAAATTTCTGGAGACATCTTGTAACAAACATCCATCCCTTCGTATTTATAATATTAGTAACAAGTAAGATATTTAATCGTATCCAAACAATATTTTTGGTAAAAGAAAAATATTTTACCAGTAGTATAGTATCAATGGCCGGACAAGGACATCATAAATTACACTAAAGTAATTTTGTGCACGAATTCTGGATATATTTCCCTTCACTTGTGAAAATGTTGAGGACGCAATATTCTGGAGACTTATGCTACGAGAGCTAAGCTCTAAAACAAAGTCATATATCACACGTGCGTGCTTCGATAACCGTTCGACCCTATATCGAAACTCTCGATCTTTTAATCCATAGACAATAAATTCTATTTTTAAAAGCATAAAGCTTGTATAGTTTTTTTCGTCATAATTTACCTAGACTTTTCTCTATGTATTCCGTAAAGTATTTACTCTTTCATACATCTCTAATAGCCGACATATCTGAATTCACTCTTATCTTATGCATAACCTCTTTTTAGCCGACTTCAAAAAGGAAGAGGTCTAGGTCTAACTTAAACGTAAATAGGTCTAAGACATCAGACCGACACCGACTCAGAAATAACAATAATTGTAAAGTATAGACATATATTAACACGTTGACGGACAGTAGGAACAAGCGAAGTTCGAAAATTGACACTATTTGTTTTTGTGATTTTTAGAATGTTAGAAGTATAGTTTTACTCTTTCTGCTTAAATAAACTTAATTTTGATTAATTTAGTACCTTTAATTAGGTTGCGGCTATAACCGTCATGGCGCCAGCGGACTCTATACACTAAGTGATAGGACGATATATAACAGGTGAAATATGAACTTCAACCTAAAAAGATATTTTCAAAACACGACACTATGCTTCTACGTATACGCCAGTAAGTGCACATTTGTGCTGCTATAGCCGTAGTGTCTAAAAACGACCGTTTCGTTTTGGACGGCTATAGCAGTCATGCCACATTGTGAACTTCGCTTTGACGGCTATAGCCGCAATTGTCCGTCAACGTGTTAAGACGGATAAGAAATTTCTTGCTTTCGGGCGTGTTTGTTCATGGCATTATTTTATTACTTTTTAGTGCATTTTGTTTAAGAATGTTTTTTTTTTGTTTCAGTATGTTTTATAAAAACTATTTATACTTTCTTTGGTCTTCCCCTGTCGATGGAGCCATCCACATTCAATTAATACTTTCTTGTCTATGTCTTATTGATTACAATTAGTAAAGTTGATATTTCTGTATCCAATATAATAATTACATTTCGCAAACATTGCAAATATTATTAGCAATTCAATATTTTAAACTTTTCTTTTTCTGCTATCTGTCCAAAAGTTCACATTTGTTCCGGGTAAACTTTGAAGCGACTGGACCGATTTTGATGGGACTTTATTGGAAGGTAGCCGATATGTGTCGGTAGTAACTAAGACTAATCTTATATATAAAATTCTCGTGTCACAATTTTCATTCCCATACACCTCCGAAACGGCTTGACCGATTCTCATGAAATTTCGTGAGCATATTGAGTAGGTCTGAGAATCGGCCAACATCTATTTTTAAGCCAGCGCGGACGGAATCGCGGGCGACAGCTAGTTATTTATAAAATTTCACGCTGAAAAAGTCGCGAGAAACACCCAGTATGGTAGTATATGTACGTTGCTTTCCCCAAATGCTTTGTAGTCATTAAAACGGATTTTCTAGTTTTCGTCCTTAAATTGATTGAAAAAGTGGTGTATTTTATATTTTTTAAAATTGTTACAAGTTAGCATGTTGAGGTTATGCGTGTTTTAATAACAAAGGCCTTGGAATTTAGTGTAAATTCTTAGATTTATATCTTTAAAATAAACGCATACGACCTCTTTAATTATCGTAATTATAAAAGGTCAAATTAAACTCTTTAAACTCGCAAAATAATAATATTTGTATAAATATAGAAAATTGGAGTTTAAACAACAATTTTGTATAAAAACAACAAGAATCAAAGATTTTACTTAATTATACACAAATATTATAATTTACTATTTATTAACTCCTGGACAAATTTAAAAGCAATACCATATCAATACTAATATTATAAAGCGAAAGAGTTTGTTTGTTTAAACGCGCTAATCTTAGGAACTACTGGTCCGACTTGAAAAAATCTTTTTTTTTGTTGGATAGTCCATTTATAGAGGAAGGTATTAGGTTATATAACATTACGATGAGACCAATAGTTTTTTTTTAATTCCGCGCGGACGGAGCTAGCTAGTCAAATATAAAATAGAGCAAAAAACTTTCATAATTAAATAAAAAATAGGTATCACGTTAAAGGGAAAATTAAGCTTTTAACAGTGTTAAAATTATGAACGATGACTCTCAATTCCTTTTATCGCCGTCCCACAGTAAAGCTCATAAAAGGGCTTTAATATAAACGGCTTTTTGGTGAGCAGTAAAAACGCCCTTCCGTTAACACTAAAAGAAATGAGGCCATACAAGTCCTTAATTTTCTATTAAGCCTGAGCAATATGCAACTGGTGGTCGGTTTAATACAATATAAAAGTCATTTGACTCCAGTTTACAAGACGTCTTTATTGTAACTAAAATAAAGGTCAGTTTCCACTATTGAAATATGCAGGAAAAAAATATATTATGTCTGTTACAACTAGAAAAAGACGGAAGATTATGAGGTCGTTTTTACAGGTTTCTGGTGCCGGCAAAAATTACAAATTTGTAGAATAATGGTAAGTCTAGAGGTAACGGGCTTTTACTATATGTTTACGTAAATTAAATGTCATAAAATAAATTATAAAATCATTGTATGAACTATGTCTATTAAAATACTAGTTGTAGGACGCGACTCCGTTTGCGCCGAAGAGAAAAAACTTAATAGCTTATACGTTCTTCCAGACTAAATTCTACATTTGTGCCAAATTTCATAAAGATCTATTGAGACATCCATCCAAACTTTTACATTTATAATATTAGTAAAATTACGACTAATTGAGTGTAGAAGCAGTTTATTTCAAAATAATATGAATTGTACACAAAGCTTTTGCTCAAATTGCTCTTTGAATTTGTCTGGGAATCTTAATTGGAGTAATGTAACCAGAGTCGGTTCGCCTCAGCAGCCGTGAGTCTTAATAGAGCGACTATACAGAGAGCAGAGGGAAGACGGGGTGACGATAGGGTTGTCAACATTCTATAATCTTAGACATGAACACTCGATAAAAAACCCTTGACTACTCAGAAGACAACGAATAAAAATGTGAATGTAAAATTCTAATCCTAACCTATGTTATTTTTTAAACGTGGGAATATTAAGTGGATTTGATTTGAAAAGGACGTATGGAACAGGTAAATATATACTTTATGTCACCTATTCCTTTAAAGGTATGCATTGGAGCTACGTTTCAAATTATTCCATATGTCTACAAGCGGTCACTTCGCTGTTTTAGTGGAACGACTTGTCAGTATCATCTTTTACTAAGACGGTGGCAGCCCTAGATGAGGGGATTGCTTGCGAGACGTTGATCCCTGTTTAATTATGCTCTGTACTCAAATTGAGCGAGCACTGAGACTCAAAATGTAAGTATTAAATTCCTTACATTACTTTTTTTCGTAAGATGTTCAGCAGTTATTTACAAATACAGCCTATTATTTTATTACTTTATGTTTAGTTAAAAAGGTTAATTACTATTCTTTTTTCTTGCGGTCATCTGGATTCGCCAAACTGGCGATGGCTGACTATAGTTATCCGCAATGACTTCCATTGACGGAGAAGACGGACGCATAGAATGAACAAAAAAATAAGGATATTTCCCCTCCATATGCGTTCCATACCCTTCCCATCTTTTCTTTATTAGAAAAAGGGTTGGAAGGGAAAGTAGACTGAAATTGGGCCTCTGACAACACACTCCTCAGATAAGACGCGGAATTACTTTAACGCCTTAAATTAATATTCGAAGTATCATTTAAATAAATCTGATTAGTTCTACAGATTACCGCCATTTTGAATTATAACAGATTATAAAATTGCCCTGTAAACACACTTTTTAATTTATTCATAGCTTTTCAGCATAATAAGTTTGGAAAGGCACTTACGTTAACCTTACTTAGCTCCGAAGTGTAGATTCAAGTTAATCATAAAAACCTTTCCCTTCAAAATATATTGAAAAGGAATTCTGGGTAAGAATTTTTAAAAGCTTTCATTCAAGTCATAGTAAATATTTATTTATTTATATTTATTAAGCGAGAAGTAATTCATCACATCACTTACCCATTGCAGTGACTTAGGGAGTTAGGCAGGGAATAAATATTATTTTTTAAATATCTGGACAACTGATCCCACTTTAAAATGGTTATAAATGAAAAACCATAAATCTAAAACAGCTTCTAAACCCGATATATTAGCTTTTGAAGCTGTTCGTATGAGATATTGGTTAACTGGAAATTATTTTTCATATATAGAAGAAGGGGAGCAAACATCGACGTCGATAGACATGCGTAACACCCCTCTGAATTTGTCGGACTTTTAAATAGAAATACGCTCGCTTCTTCAAGGATCCTATGTCGTACTGATTATTATAAAATACTGCCTAGCACTAAACTGTTCCATAACACAGCTGCGTCAGGATATTCCTCGAGAATCGCACTAATCGAATTAATTTAAATAAACTACAGTTTGACTTCAGTGTGTCCTTCAAAAGCAATTTACGTCGAGTAATGTCGCGGAATGAACGGTCATTAAGTACCTATTTGTTGGAAGAGGGCGGACTAGCCTTAAGTAACCAGTGTCTTGTTACCAAGCTATTACACACAATAGGAAACAAATTGGAGTAATATCAAAGCAAAGATAAGGAATTACAACCAAAGCAATGATAAATAAACATGTAATACGGGAATATTAAAGTTTGTTTGTTAATATAATAATGTTTGTGTAAGCCTCTTTATAACGTCACTCTTGCGAAGTTTAAGTCTTAATTAAAAGTTTGAAAGGCTGAGCCTCTTGCAAAAAAGTCTTTTGTATCGGTAACCGAGACGTTTCTTAAAGGAAAATACATCATTTTAAGACTAGAATAAAAGTTTGTTCGTATTTTACAAGTATAGTGACAATCAAAACAAGGAATAACTTGTTAAATTGTTTTAGGTTCATATTTGACACAATAACATCTACTTTTAAGTTAAAGTATAAAAGTATTTTGACTATTTTGATTATATTTTACGCAAAATATTAATAACTTCGTAACATAATTTCGTGCAAGTTCCTTTTGTTTTAAACACACGATATTTTGTTTTAATTTAAAATAATCATGCACGTTTACTTAAATAGGTTGATATTCTTAACATACATCCAGGCCAGGGACAAACATAAATCATAAAACAATGCCAAAACCTTAATGAGCATGAACTCAAGAATTTTAAATTTCGGCAAGGCGCCTGCAGAAAAAATAACAAAAATGTCTCATGCTACTTTTGCTAATAACACCAAAACGTACATTAGTTACATACAGTTTTTAAAAATCTATTTTCTTATTATTATTGTTAAAAGTTTTAACACAATAAATAATCAGAAAAATGACTTTTATTTATTTATGCCTTTTTACATTTAGTACAACAGGTTATGTTGTGAAAACATTTTTCACAAAGTTAGTAACAGTCACAGAATGCCGGTTTTCATAAAATATCGTTTATACTTTTTATAAAATACTTATGTAACACTAATCCTTCTCAAGTTAATGTTAGACAACTTTTAAAGCGCTGCAATAAAACCCCACCTTAAAGTAACATTTTGCTCGGCTTAAGCGTTAAACTTTTTGGGAACGTTGCGCGTAAATTTTCCCCTTCCACGGGGACATAGAAATTACGAGGCAAGTAGAATAAAATTCTTTTGCCTTTATCCGTGTTAGAGAGAAAAATAAATTTTGCTAGTAGAGTGGGTCACGAAAACGATTTGTTTTTTTTGTTAGCCTCAGGGATATCGTTATATCGAGGGCTTTTACACTTCAACGGATTAAAAGGTCAAAGTAATATGTCACGTTATTTTTATATAAATAACGTTCAATATAATAATATAATTTATTTTCCGGCTTAAAATTATAAACAGATGAATATTGCTTCTAGATTTTATACCTATTTCATGAAAATTTTCAGCTATTATACGTGCTGTTCAATTCTTCTTCGAATCGCACGTATAAAAATATCGTGTTGTCCCTTTCATTTTCTTCAAAAAAAACAGAGATAACAATATTTCAGCAGTGAAATATGACGATTATTGTTTTATGAAAAATATTTATAGCGCATTACTAATCTTTCATAAAAGATTAAACTCCGTCTACACAATTTTTTTATGATAACTATATTATTTATAAACTAACCAATTAAACAAGCCACTCCAATTTTAAAAACCCTTTGCATATTTAGTTATCTAACATTTTGGAAATCAAACTCAAACTTTAAGCTGTGTTTAAGTTGCGATAATTGCCAAACTTTAGGGACCTCTGGAGTTGTTAACACGTGTAGAATATAACAGGGATGGATCACAAGGGAGATTTAATCTGTTACGAGATAAACTTACATACGTCCTAGGGTAAGCAGGGATTATGAATTTACATTATAGCCGGCTTAAAGCCTATCATATTTTAATTTTATACAAAATACGTAACGTCTTTATTGTTTATTAAGTCTATTGGTTATATCTTATTATCTTAGTTATACATGCGAATGTTTATATGGATGGATGTTTGTTTCAAGATATCTCCAAAACGAAAGATATAGAACATAGTCTGGATGACCACATAGGTTACTAATTATATTATTTACATAGATATTTATATGATGTTATGATCTGTACAATTAATAAAAATAAAAAAATATATTTTTTGAACACGATGTATTTTCGTCGTATTTAACTTTTACTTATACAATTGTGGTGTACCCTGATATTGCAAGCTTTTATTTAACACATCCTGGAAAGACGCCAAGTGACAATATATTTGTATATCTTTCAGAATAGGTACGTAACTTAAAAGGATAAATGTAACTATTGTTTATATAAACTGTTAATGTTCATTACGTAAATGTAATTAAAAATATATAAATAGTTATATTTATAAAATTACTAGCTGTAACCCGTGACTCCGTCCGCACTGAATTAAAAGAAAACTTAATAAGTAGCCTGTTCAGTACAGAACAAGAAAATAAAAAACTGTTGGAAATATCTTAGATTCGCGTTTAATTGGAAGAAGTACATTAGTGCGACATGTGTGCGCTTGAGTGCGAGAATTGCGAGAATGAATTGAATGAAAGAGTGAGTGCTTGAAGTTGAGTGACGTCGCCCCCGCGCCGCTCGGCCAGGTGTCAAGTTTGGCGCGGACATCCTCCGGGGCCTTGAAGGCGACAGCCTTCAAGACAGGTCTTCTTCCGAGGAAGGTAGAAAGCATAGTCTGTTGAGTGCCCTTCGAACGGTCCCTTGAGAAGTGACGACGTCAGCGACACGAGGGACATCATCAGGACCAGGATACAACCTGTTGACTCGACCGAGGCGCCAACATAATGGAGGTGCATTGTCCTCCTTTACAAGGACAAGATCGTCGATCTTCAAGTGCCTTGATTCAGCGCGCCACTTCGAACGTTGCTGTAGTTCCGCAATGTATTCGTTAGTCCAACGTTTCCAGAAGTGTTGCCTTATCTGCTCTAAGTGCTGAAATCTGCTGAGTCGATTGGCGTTGCAGTCCAGGAAGCTTGGTGACGGTAGCGACGTAAGCGGCCTGCCAATCAAAAAGTGTGCCGGGGTGAGAGGTTGGAAATCATTAGGCGGGGGACTGAGGGGACACAAGGGTCGGCTGTTTAGGATAGCCTCGATTTGAGCAAACAAAGAAGTCAGCTCCTCAAAGGTTAAATGACTATTTCCTAAGACCCTACGAATGTGAAATTTAGCGGATTTTACTCCAGCCTCGGCTAAACCGTTGAAGTGAGGAGCGTATGCAGGTGAGAATTTAAAATCGATACCTCGAAGAGCTGCATAATCATAAATAGTGTCAATATTTGACTGTAAAAAAGATGAAATTTCTTTAGACGCGGCAACGAAATTCCTACCGTTATCACAGTAAATTAGTTTAGGTAAACCTCTGCGAGCTATAAATCGTTTTAGTGTTAAAATAAAAGCATCCTTACTTAATTCGCTGACGGCTTCCAAGTGAACGCATTTGTAACGAAAGCATATAAAAATACACAAATAACATTTAGTTATTTTACATCCGCGGCCCTTTCGATCACTGATCAAGAACGGTCCAGCGAAATCAGTACCAACGGTATTAAATGGAAAATCTGGCTCAACTCTTTCGTTAGGCATATCGCCCATTATGTTACTCATCGTCGTACCTTTGAAACGACGACAAACTAGACAGTTACGAGTTACCTTTCTTGCCAAGTTGCGGCCACCAAGAGGCCAATAGCGGTCTCTAATTGAAGCTAGAACGTGTTGGGGTCCAGCGTGTAATAGACGCTCGTGTTCATTTTGAAATAAAAGTTTTGTCAATAAATGGTCAGACTTTAGAATAATAGGGTGACGTTTGTCGTAAGAATAGGCGGAAGAATCGATTCTTCCACCTGCTCGAAGCAGCCCATCCGAGTCAAGAAAAGGGTTTAATAATAATAATAATAATAATAATTTATTTATCTCAGATAACATGGATCCATATTCTTATTCTAGGGTTAGTAATAGCTTAAAAAACTAATGTTAGTATAAACAATTTAAATTAAAAAGAAGAAGAAGAAGT